GCTGACCTTTAGCTGTGACGTAGTAAGCTGCATCCAGTAGGTACTTCTGTCTCTGCTGGCGGCAATGCTTGCGTCCAGGGCCTTGCAGCGCTTCTTCACGGCCAAATGTTGTCTCCGTCGTAAGATCAGCGAATGTGGACTGTATCAGTGGTGAATGATGGTCTATCCAGCGTGGATAGATGATAGGAAAACGATAGACGCTCAGCTACGGTGAAGCAGCGTCTCACGCGGTCAAGAAGAGTTGTTTCCACCCAGCGTGGGCGGATATCAGCCAATACGACGTAACCGTCCGACAGTGTTGCGTCATAGGCAGCTACGGTCATACTGGTATATGCAGCGAAAGAATAATGCGAGCGGGAATAACAAGAGCGTATATAATAAAAGAGCAGGGTAGATCAATTATAAAGTGACGGCGTCAACAATTACCTTGTTTTATTGTTATAAACTTTCAAAATATAGAATAAAATAGTCCTAAAATAGTCCTTCATATGGTGGTGTCGAACTAGGACGTAATCTATCGCATCTCTTGAATACATGTGTATAGTTCTTTAGCCGTGGATGAACTAAAATATTCCGTATTGAGCTTCCTCTTTCAGCAATGGCTGTTACTTTACTAATTCTTTATCTGTTTATCATAGAAAAACAATTGATGGTAACTTGATAGACGTACCATAAACGAGCTTTGCGGCGCAGCAACCAGTGTCTTGTCGATAACTGGAGCGTAGGCCGAAAAGAACTGAGGGTAACTCTCTTGTCCAATTTGTCGTGTTACCTGTGGCAATCAATGCTGTTTTCATCGTTCTGTGTAATCTTTCAACCTTGGCATTCGATTGAGGACGATATGGTGAAGTACGATTTTTTTCGAAATGTTTCAGGTTCAAATTGTCGTCCTTGGTCAGTAATAATATAATCTGAACATCCAAAATAACAAATCCATACTTCGTAAACTACTTTAGCGAGAGTTTCTGCAGTAATGCACTAACTGGAAAAGCTTCCGACCAAGATGTCCAGCGGTCGATTACAGTAATTATATAACGCATATTCTGTGACGTAGGCAATGGTCCTACGATATCAATTTTTATATGTGCGAAACGCTTCGCTGGCAAATATTTTCCAAGCGGCCAAATTCAATGTCTATGCACTTTTGTTTGTTGACAGTGTAAGCATGATTCACACCACCTGTTTATATCTGTATTCATGTTTGACCAAATTATAATTTCTTCTAATTAATTTTCTCGTTGTTTTTGTATCAGAGTGGCTCAAGTTGTGGTAACTGTAGAATATTTTTTTAAATTGTGGCAAATATGGACGAACAACTTCAGTGGAAATATCGCAATATAGTTTGTTGTTTAAATTCGGAGCTCGAACAAGTGATAAACACAACGACTGATTCTGTTTAAGTTATTGTAGTTGGATATAGTTTTGTTGATTATTTTTTTTTCTAAATCGGATAAATCGATGTTTGGAAGTGAAAATGTTTATATGATTCGTGACAGAACGTCGCCAATTGCATTATCTTGTCTGCTTACATGTTATATACCGGCGCTGAATTGTGATATGTAATCCAGATATATAATTTTTCTCGGGAGTATTAGCTACCGAAATTTTCTTGTTGTTTGGTTTATAGCCAGTAAAAATTGTGAAAACACGACATTCAATTAATCTTCTGAAGTGTTTTATCGCCATATATATATTCCCAATAGCTCTCTCTCATATGTAGAATATTTAGTTTGTGTTTCTGTTAAGAATTTGCAGAAAAAACAATTGGTTTCCAATTTTGATTTACCCTTCGTTGTAAAACTGCGCCAACGCATTTTAAGGCGGCATCGGTCATTAATATTATAATAATTGTCCATATTTGTTACCTCGCATATGTCTTGCTTGCATTTTTCAAAATTTGTTCTGCTTCCGTATTCCATATGATTATTGTATTATCATTTTTCTTGGAATTAATTAAAAATATATTAAGTGAAGGTTGATGTTTGACAGCAAGGTTTCGCGCGAAGAAATTTTCCCGCGGTCAGCTTCTCTTATTTTCCTTAATAATTGGGATGGTTTTTGAAGTCCCATATTTATTTCTGAGAGTAACTTATGAAAACGCTGCTGTTCAAATGCTATGAAGAGAGTCTTCATAGCATTTGAGTAGCCTTTCTTTAATTTGAGAATACTTATTTTGTGACATCGAATTATTTAATCACTAATTTGATGTATAACTCTTTGGACAATTTTGATATTACAGTGTGCAATTTGTAGTCGTCGCCTTGTTTTTGTGGGGCAATTATGGCTTCAAATTGCGAAAACCAGAGACGCGATGAGTCGGTCCAAAATTGCGGTGGTCACTCAACGATAGTTATTGATGCGACCAGATTTGTAGATGAGTCAAGTCTCATTTAAAAAAATTCCTAATTAGTTTCTCTTGGAATGGCAAGCAAAGGACTAGCTATTTGTAGAACTTGTGTTAGTTTGTTATTAACCAACGATGTGCCTTTTGAATTTCCAGCCAGTGAGACCCGCTTGTGGGAAGCTGGTGGAAATGTACACATCGTTGGCGGTCTGTTATATATGACGCGCTAGTTCTCTAATCTCTTTCTATTTCTACTCGTCGTCGGGCAGCTTCGGATCACGTCGGTGTCACCAACGTTGCGGGTTGTATTGAGACGACGAGGTCGGTAGAGATGTATATTTCCAGTGGTTTAGTTATAACTGTCTCTCAACTGAATTGTGACTGACAAAATTAAGAAATAAAAATTATTTCATATATTAAATATCAATACAGGAATTAATTTCCTGTATTTGTATGACAAAAATGATGGGACGACACATTAACCTAATACGTGCAGTGCAAAATTAACAATAATTAAATTTCTTAATAAACAAACAATTTCCTTAGTGCACTGGATCTATAAATATAAATGTGACTCCATATTAGACTATGATCGATCAATTCTGAGGCTGCAAGTATGTGTGATGCAGAATTGTCGTCTAAGTAGAGTGTATTATAGCATACATATAAGTTTTTTGCACAAAATTTCTAGAAGACCTCTAGATTAACCAAAGAAAATCACAAGAAATGTCGATATTGCTAGTGTTATACTATCGATAACATACGATACCGATATTCGACACCTCTAACTTTTTACTTGATGGAAAGTGATAACCGTTATCTATAGACATGAACAGTACCATGAACATCATAAGATACACTATAATGTCCATGGCTTTCCTTATTTTTTTTTTTACAACACAGGGGGCAAACGAGCATGCGGCTCACCTGATGGTAAGTGACTACCGCCGCCCATGGTCACCCACAACACCTACGGCATTGCAGGTGTGCTGCCGGCCTTTTAAAAAGGAATATGCTCTTTTCTTGAAGGTTATGTTGTCGTATCGGTTCGGAAATACTGCTGCTGGAAGTTGATTCCAAAGAGTGGTTGTGCGTGGGAGAAAGTACCTTGAAAAACGCACGGTGGAGGACCGCCACTCGTCCAGATGGTTGGGATGAAATTTTAGTTTATGGCGGGTTGTACGATGGTGAAAAACTGCAGCAGGTATCAATCCGAACAATTCTTCAGAGCACTTCCCGTGATAAATTCGGTAGAAGATGCACAGAGATGCAACATCTCTACGCAGTTTCAGTGGATCGAGCCGGACAGTAAGACGCCGATCGTCAACAATTCGAGCTGCCCGACTTTGAATGCGGTCTAACGGAAGGAGTTGGTACTGTGGCGCTCCTGCCCACAGGTGAGAACAGTATTCCATGTGTGGCCTCACTTGAGCTTTATATAGTTTCAGGCGGTTTTCTGGCGTGAAATACCGTCTCACCCTATTGAGTACCCCCAACTTTTTGGAAGCTATCTTAGCTTTTTCCTCCAAATGACCGCAAAACTGGACGTCGCTAGATATATCGACGCCAAGAATCCCCAGACTCGACTTATTATCGAGGGAAGTGTCCTGAAAGTGAGGAGATACGACAAACGGTGTCTTTTTTGCGGTGAACGCGCAGACTTGTGTCTTCTTAGGGTTAAAGTGAACAAGATTGCGTTCACCCCAGATCGAAACTTTATCGAGTGAAGTTTCGATTTCAGACACAAGTCATGTCAAGTCATATGTTGTCATTCTTGAGCACTATAGTGATATGCATTCATACTCCGCAATTTTCACAGCCATATTCCTTCAAACCAAAAGTATGCATTGGCCAAAACCAAGTCACTTTAGGACATATGTCTGGATGGGGTACAGATGTTTTTTTACAAGTCTCTTTTTGATTTTTGCATCCTTTACATATTTGGGGCATCATTAACGAAAATCACCCAAACAAGCTAAGAACGGTGATGATAATATCCTCCTCTTATGAAACCCCTACTCAACTATGGGACTTTAGTAAAATTTTATTTTTAAAAGAGACTAACAAAAAGGCATGATAGGGTCAGCAACGTGTATGCAATACCTCACAATATTGGAACAATACCCAACAGAATTGCTTATCATCAGAATGCTTATAAACTGAATGCTTATTTGTCACCTCAAAAGTATAAAAAAGCATAAGTTTGCTTTATTTTTTAAATTCTCTTTACTATATCCATAATCTAAAAGGCCAGGAACGTCTGAAAAAGGCTTGGTGTAATACTTATTAAAAAGGAACCTACTGTGTGAAAATTATTTATAACAGCAGTTATATACAATTCTGAGAAATTTATTTGTATATTTTTTTTATATTCTTTATTAATAGAATACCAACAACTAAAAAATTTCATGATAAAAAACAACAGTAAATACAAAAAGCCAATTACAAATTTACACAAAAACAAGATTTAACTAAATTTCAATGCAAATTTGAAAAAAAATAGTGACTGAAATGAAATATTTAGTATTTTATTAAAATAGATAGTTATACAGTAGACCCATATATAGTGGGACCTTTCATTCAACTAACGTCTAAGAGATTAATATGAGTTATGTGAATATGAATTAATAATTATATTTATTACAATGTACCATACCTGCACAGGAACTATGGCTGGTCTTCCTCTTCTTCTCAGAAGTGAGCAGTCCATTGGGTGAGGTAATTGCACTTTCGGCGAGTGTTCGTTTTAATTTATTGTCTGTTTCGCGCCGTTCTAACTTACAGTCCTCCTCGTTCATGGTTCTTTCAAAGCACTTCAGCAGTCTGCTTTCCAATTCACTAGCACCTTTCACATTGTCACTATTTGTGTCTAATTGCACTGCTTTCCCACTTTCACTGGGCTTGATATCACAATTTGCACCATTATCTACTTTCGCTGGTAACTTCTTCTTAATTTCATGATTGTTGGGCTCTCTGTACCCCTCGTTTTGGGCATATTTTCCCTCTTTTTCCAACATATCGTTCCTCCATTCCTTGTCGCGTTCTTTCTCTAGAGATTTCCCATCAGTCAGTAACTTTGACTTTTTCTTCTTTAAACTGTCTAAAGGAACCTTATTGTTCAGCTTGTAGTCGTGCGATTTGGAGACGATATGCGCCGTCTTCGATATCGACTTCATTCTATACACGACATTGTTATCACCCGTTATCTCTGTCTTCCCCGTTTCGCCCTCGTTATAGTGGTTGTTCAGCTTTATACTCTTGACTAAATACTCATCAGTCTTGTTCTCAGTGCTGTCACCTGACTTTGATGCTAATGACTCTTCAGAATCTCTCCGATGTACTTTCTCCTCGCCTTCTAGGGTTTTTCTGATTTTAATCTTTTTTGTGTGCAATTCGCCTTGGCTAAACTTCTTCTTCTCCTTCTTTGAATTCTTTATCACTGCTGAATGACCTTTGAGGCGTATATGTAGTGGCGGAACTCTAGGCACGCTCTCTTTTGGCTTCTCACCTTTAGATTGCTGATTGACAAAGCTTATATCAGCTTTGTACACAGGCTCGTTTTTATCCAATTTTAACCTCAACTTTATCGATTCTTTTTCCCCGGGCGGCGACTTCGGCGCTTCACTGCCAGGCGTAGCAGGTTTAGCGATCGCCGGTCGCGGTAAGGCAACTTTGGTCTTCCCATCTTTAACTATTTTATCTTTCAACGTAGCAGGTTTCTCTTTTGCTCCCGGCATTTTAAGATTCCCGCTTTTCGGCGCAAACTTATCGTCTTTCTCTTTCTTGATGATTTTATTTTTCAATTTTGAATCATCTTCAGAACTTTTAGCATCATCCTCAGATATGGTCGATTTCGCTATCCCAAAGACTTCTGGCGTCTCAGTGGAGTTCTCTTTCAATTTGCACTGCGCGACTGTGACCTCCTCGATCTTTTTCTGCTCTTTAGGCGGTGGTGTATCATCGTCCCTCATCAACGTCTTGATCAGGTACTGTTTGCTTTGCTCCTCGATTTCCTGCGCGGTGGCTTGAGAGCCGACTGTCGCCGTTGAAACTGAAGTAGTCGCTCTCACTGGTAACCTCATAGGAGGAGGCATGGATGAAGATTGACTCAAGTGCGACATTCTGTCGGAATTTATACTGGGCGACATCGTGTAAGCATTAACCGTCGATTTGTACGGTTGGTGTGCGTGACTCAACACATGGTTGGGAGAAGTGTTTGTCGCAAATGCTTTGGACGTCGACTGCTGTGGAACTGGAGGAGGAGGCATGAAGTTGGACTCGCTGGCAGCCGCGAAAGAGTCCTTTGAAGGCACATCGCTCACATTCGTGTGACCACTAGTGGTCGGGTTACTGGTCTCTGGGTATGGACCATTTAAATTCGGACTGCTATACTGGACCCCCGTGATTTCCTGCAATAAAGAGTCCGGGGTGTGTTGTTCTGATGTTGTAGGTATCTGTTCCGGTTTCTGCGAATCGTAAATGTTGTCCAGTTTATTGTTATCTGCATTGGAGAGTTCGGAGATGGCTGATAGTTCCGAGATGGCGGTGTCATCGAGATGCAGGTCCCCTCCGAGGGTTGGTAATAGCTGATCTAAATCACAATTATCAGGCAAGTCCGGAAGATCGAGTGTATCCCGGTACGGCTCGTTCCAGTCCGGTTGCGACGCCGCCCGCTGCGTCGCAATATACTGCTGTTGAAAACGCTGGAACTCCTGCAATTAAAAAGCAATGAAGAAGTTATAATATTTATTCTAAGATTGGTTAAAACTTGAATAATATTATTAGGAGTTGTATTATGAAACAAGCTTAAAAATTCTCATTAATTTTGTAAAAAAAATATAATGTCTACATATATAGTAAATATTACATATAGTAAATACATTTAATGTGAAATTAAATCCACTTTTTTTTTTATTTTTCATACATTTGATTTTCAAGACAATTACGCTATTAAGCACCGGAGTAGATCCTCAAAACATTACATTATACTCACTTGAAACCTCGAACGAGTTTTCTGATCCATAGATGTGGTTGAAGGTGGTAGGAGAACCTTCAAATCTTCAGGAGTGAATCTCGCCTGTGATGCCGCTGGAGCGTTATGCGGGGGATGTGCAATGTGCGACGGGTGTGGGGGGTGCGACGGGTGCGGCGGGGCGGGGCCACCTACCCGCGGACGGGTCGCCGCCTGTCTGTACGGGGGCGGCTCGCCCGCAAATCCTGGCGGCGGAAACCTCGCCCGATTCATTACGGTCGTATTCGGCGCTCGATATGTAGCTACGGGAGATGTAGCTGGTACAGGGGTGGAAACCGGCGGACGGGGAGGGTACGCCCGGCGGACGAAAGGTGCAGGGCGCGTCGGAGGAGGCGCGCGGGGAGGCGGTGGAGGCAGGGAGGGGCCCACGGAGGGCGGGACGGGGGAAGGCGCGGGAGATGGCGGTGGGGGGAGACGGCTCGGCGGTCTTACAGCACGGTACTCGAACGGTGCCCGACCTACCGCTAATTCCACCTGTTAACCAATTACAAATAATAATTTTCATAAATTTTTAAATGTATATATATAAAACAGCATTCGGACTTTATTTAAAAAAAATTACATTCAAAATTACCTGTCCATCATCGAGACGATCCAACTTAGCCGGATGCGGCGGCGGTTTCGCCCTGGGTTGAGGCGCCGGCGCATCGTTCTGCAGCAAATTAACGAGCAGAGGGGACGACATGGCGACCGTGTGTGGCGTGGACGGCGCCGGCGGTACGGGAGAGGAGGCCGACGAGGGCGGGGCGGGGGGCGCAGGCGAGGGAGGCGGCTGCGCGGGGTACGGAGGAGGAGGGCCCGCGAACGCGGATGTCGACGGACGGACGAATAGCCCGTCTGCAGGCGGCCTAATACCACTCGACGGACCGCTCAAACCTAGGAACAATATGCAAAAGTTCAGGAGCATGACAAAAAGAAAAAAATTCTAGTGTTGTTGTTATGTAATCAGAAGAACTCGTGTGAAACTCAACAGCTATAACCAAGACTGACCTAGCGTATTCTCCTTGCGGTGTATAACCCTCGCTTGCGTCATGCTGCCGAACGGGAACTCGCAGCGGTCGGTGGTCGGCGTGGGGATGTTGTGCGGTATCTTGCCATCCATGGGGCAAACGGTGTTAGGCGACTTGAAGTTGTCGCGCGGTGGCGGCGGCGGCTCCGCGCTGGTAGACGCGCCGTCGTCCAGCAGCCGCCCGATGCCTCCGAGCCCGGCCAGTAGCTCCGGATTCGGCTGGGCGCGGGACGTGCTCGCATCTATGGTTTTTTTTTAATGAGTGATAAATAGTGACAAGTATTAACCCTCGCTAATAGATATGAACAGTACCATGGACATAAGCCTCCCCCATAGACTGCCATAAAGAACGGTCCTGACCCAAATGCATCCATTGACTCCCTGCAATGTAATTTCAGCACGTCACTCCATCTAATAGGGAGATATCCCATTTGCCCCTACGGGGTCGCCACTCAAGAACCTTTCTTCCCCACCAGTTGTCGGTCCTTAGTGACTTAAAAAAAATGGTGACATGAACATGCACTGACCGTCGGCGTCGGTGTTGATCCTGAGCTCGGCGCCGTGCTGCAGCCGCAGCGAGACGGCCGCGTCACCGTCCAGCTGCACCGACAGGATGCCGAGCGCGCGCAGCTGCGGCGCGCCGGCCGCCGCCAGCGCCCGCAGCCGCGCCGCCGCCGCCCGCGGCACCGACAGCGTCACGCGCACCGAGTTCCACGGCTCCACCTGCAACCATACCATCTATTCATCCTCTGCTACTCTGACCATCTTAATCTCGACCATACAGCGACAAATTATTTTTAATATAGAACAGCGATCAATACGAGCAATGTCAGGTTAAACGCCACTCTGGCAATCATTGTGGCTAACCCCTGGTGATATTGTCACAATATACCAAAAATCCTAAGTTTATCCTTACTGAGCGGAAAGGAATTATTAGTAATGGAAACTAAGGGGATTTAATGAACGAAGGATGGGACGCAGCGTCCCTCTTAAAATAACACCAAAACTTAACTGCGGTTACCAACCTGTCTGCCAAACGTAACAACTACTGACGACTTTCCCAATAGGAATAGGTCTATGTTCAACAGTGGACAGGTGATGGCTAATATGAAGACGATAGAATAACCGCTAGAAGCACATTGTTAGTATGAGAGGTTCAAAATTTTATATCGTTTATCGAACCATGTTCCTTTCGAAAAAAAAAGGTTCAACCCCGCTGGTTGAACACAAGAAAATTAATGATTTCGGTTTCACCCTGTATACACGAACATTCCATATTTAAAACGAAATGTAATAACATCCCATTTATAACGAGCTGTTTCAAAGATCCAAACTATTCCGGACATACAAAAACTCAAGAACATTACACACCTTTCCTGTACGGTTAGGAAAAAAATCAAGCCATTAAATACTGGATTCAATGTCAAATATATACAAAATACGACTTCAATCATTAATTAACAGCAATCGGATAAAGTCATTAAGCAGTGAGGGGATTAATGAATAAAATTTCATAAAGTAACGTTCATTAACGCAATTCGAAATCGAACATTAAAAGCGCCGGAATGTATCCGTGCGACGCACAATTACGTCACACGCTACGGACCTTTCCCCCCTTTTGAATACTGCGCAGTAATTTCGATTTCGCCTCATAAAGCCGGCTAATTAATTACTTCGACGTTAGTACAACTTACTACTTCCGGAACAATATAATTTAAAATTTTGTTCAAATAATAAAATAAAAAACAATGTAAATCTTGACAAAAAGAATAGACTAGTAAAAAAGAATAGACTAGTAAAAAAAAAATAACAGCGCAAAAAAATAACAACAAAAAATAACAGGGCAAAAAAAATAACAGTGCAAAAAAATAACAGCGTATTCGATTAAAGATATTTTGTAGACACTAAATTAAAAAATATTCGAATTTAAAACGCGGAATTGGGTGCCTTCAAGAATATTTTGCTCCGCAACACACTATTTTTGGTTCGAAAAGAAAATCAGTAGCTATAATGATTACAAAATTAAACAGAACAACCAACCATAGGAGTAAACTTTATGTATTGCAAAACAATACCAAAATCGATTCAGAATTGTCTCTAACTAAAAAAATTAATTGATCTACATACAATGATGGTAGCGCAATCATTGAAACGCTCCACTCTGATCCCAAATCACATTTGATTATTCAAGAAATAATTATCACTAGTTGTTTCGCGCTTACAAAAAGAAAAAAAATCCACAAAAAAAACCCGAGTTTAATTGTGACATAATCAATTATTTTGATCTAAAGACTAAACTACTACACCGATTTTGATAAAATTTCCAGGGGACCAATCTGTAAGTATATCCTTTCAGATAAAAAAAATAATTTTCCAAATCGGTTTAAAACAAAAGGAGTTATGGGTTAACAAACATTAAAAAAGAAATAACCGAATAAAGAACCTCCTTCTTTTTAAAGTCGGCTGCAAATTTTTTGTTGTGAAGCTCAATCTGCTTGTAGACACGAGATTCCGCGTTCTAAATTCAAACTTTTTTTAATGTGACATTAAAGTTTGAATTTAGAATGCGGACATCTCGAATTTTCGATTGGAGTGTTCGATAACTTTTTTTACAGAGTGATTTACATACTATATGGCATGATGATAATAATGATGATGATGATACAGCCGTTAACTGTTCACTGCCCCCCCTATATTACTTGCACTATAGTAATAGTTATATCTGTGACATGGGAATTATGAGTGACGAATTGTCACGATGACAAATGTCACGCGTGCGTGCTTACGCTAAATAAAATATCAAAAAGGGCCTACCTACATGAGTGATTTTCCACACACGTGCACTTGTATCAAATAGTCAATAACGAATGTGTAGCTACTGTCAAGTTCTATCTTAAACTCCTAATTGGTCAATTTAAGGTATGATGCAGCCAAATTAAATAGGTTCGTGGTCGTTAAGGCGTAATACGCACTAGCAAGACATTTCTCGAGATGATACAAAGTATCCAAACACAGTTATTTCACAGTAACACATACAGTATTTCCTCGTATCCATTGCTTGTAGGATATTGATGCGTTGATAATTTCAATTTGTAAATATTTGAATTTAGAACCAAAGGGTCTACCATGAAATGTTTTCCGAAATTCGGGGCCTAACACAAATTTTATATATATATTTTTTTTTATACAACTTAGAATGGCAAACAAGCTGAGGGCCCACCTGATGGAAAGTGGTAACCGTCGCCTATAGAGATGAGCAGTACCATGGACATAACAGAGTATACTGTTTCGCCCATGACACCCCCCATGCGTTGCCATTACTGAGGACTCAGGTGTTATTGCGCTGTACCCTGTAAAATCACTGCCATATCCCACTCTTCCAACCGAAACAGCCATGCAAACACAACTACTTCACGGTAGAAACACGAATAGGATGGAGGTGGCCAAGCAAACTACTTTTATACAGTCTACCTATGGCTTAAAAACTAATGCATGTTTTGTCTTGTTAGAATTGTTTAGATTAACCAGGAGTATTTAACTACCACCAAAATCCACGTCTACGAAGGTACAGATGAAAGCAAGTAGTGTAAAGTTTAAATTTAAGTTTACACTACTTGCTTTAAATGTAAGTTCGTCGTCTTGATAGACGGACAATTGGTGGAACGGAACGCACATAGCGTTACGAATACTTGCGAATCAAGTGCAAGGTCAAAGTTGATTTACCGTAGAATTCACTTAATGATAGGAGAGTTGTACAGAGTAATTTGAATAGCCGTATATCACACGAGCCTCAAATGTAATGTAAGAAACATTTAGTATGACCATACACGCATTTGTGGGTTCGGATGGGCCGCGCCCATCCCAGGATGCGAGTGCAACTTCCAACTATGCGTAAAGACATGTTTACATGTGGATATAATGACTACACCATGAGGTTCTTCACAAGGGGGTAAAGAGGTTCAGAGTTGGCAACACGCACGTGCAACTCCTGCAACTCGTGCAATTACTGGCGTTCATAGGCTACGGTAACCGCTTACCATTCGGTGGGTCGTATGCTTGTTTTCCTCATCAGTGGTATAAAAAATAATAATAATGAACATTCTTTAAAGGAACAGAAATGAAAAATATGCACATACAAAACCTTATACATGTAAGGTTTGAAATCGAAGTAACTACCATACTTTTTTATTTATTTATTTAATTACAGGGAAACCAGGATTACACTGGTGTAAATAGAAAAAGTCTAAGGTTACAAATAAAGCCACTGATAGGTTCTCACAATAGTAACAAAATAGATAAGGGGCAATGCACATGAAGCAACAAAAACAAGGAGAACGAAAAAATAAAACGAATAAAAAACAAAGGAAAAACTAAATGAAAATACTTGACTAAAATGTAACCATTTCATCAACATAATACAATTTTATGGAGTGTACTACCAAAATTTTTGTTATTTTTCAATCCATAGTTTTTTGAGAAAAAATTTAAGTTTGCCTCACTTTAGATGCTAATGATTTCGATTTATTTCTATATATTAGACACATTATGGTCTCGGGATGCGGTTTAAGTAATTAAAAGAAAGCCATGACCATATTCGTCTAGTCCCCCCCCCACTCACGAAAAAAACTAATCAATAGGCGAACTGACCTGATCATTCATCCTCATCTATCATCCCTCGCTGGTGCCACGCCAGCGTACACCAAATTCATCGGTTTTAAAAAAGCACCAACATCACACAGTACATTTTATTTTTAGTTTAATTTGACGTTTCAAAGCTCAAAAAAGGTTTCAATACGCTATGGGCTACTAGCAAACACAAGTTAATAAACGTCACATCTCTGTTTTACTGTCTCATCATCATCATCATAGTCCTTAATCGTCCATTGTTTAGCCATGGATAGAACTCCATCATAGACTGCCGTAAAGAACAGATCTGAGCTATCTACAACCATTTAGATCGTCCCTCCATCTAGTATGTGGTCTCCATCTACGGTTACTCTGATGAAGAGTTGTAACTGTAATGAAAGACCCCAGACTTCGCGGTGGACTTACCTTTTTAAAGGCAATGGGAGTGGCAAGCTCAATAGGAAAGGAAGGGAGGTTTTCCTTAGGGAAAAAATCCTACCCTCTGGTAAAACAGGAGATAGACTTGTTGGAAGAGACTCTAAGTTCTTACAATTTGTAATTTTCGTAAATTTTGCATGTCATAATTTTCCGTAGTGTTAAAAATTATGACATGCAAAATGTGACATGTCTCGTCAGACATCAGTTCACAACTCAGCAGCAGCAAAGATTGACTTCGATGTAATGCAGTAACCAGTGCCAGTGGCGAAGAGAACATATGGACTTCAAAAATATGCGACGGGAAATATCGAATCTGTGCTGATGTGACAGTACTGCAGTGACTTGAAATCAACAACCACGACGGCTGTAGCGGATCAGTACTGGCCTGTTTCGAATTTAGAGTCAGAGGGATCGATTCTGAAGTGCTATTTCTGTAAATTTATTAACCTAATAATTCGATAGATTCCCGAAATTGCTGTTTTATGGAGCATTATAAAATAAATTTATAATAATTTTGATTTAAATATAGTACATACATATTAGTCCTTAGAATAAAAATATCACTGTAATTTTAAACTGAAATTTATATTTAGAGATAGGTTTAGAGAAATAACGCCTCAGAATCGATCTCAATATCTGACCCAGTGTAAACATTTACCAAAAGAATAAATATCTAAATAGAGCTGACATTTCCGTGATTTCAATAATTGTGCGTTAGCTCACTTACGGCTCGGGTCCAACTCGTGTCCCATTAAGTCAGGGTTCGCAAGCAACAGATGCAGCAGTGAGAGCGTGCGTCTCACATGTGAGTGAATTACGTAATATATTAAAACAATATTGGTACAATGCGAACAAGTTTGTGACAACACATCCGAGGTCTAAAAAGAAAAGAATAGTACATTTTTGCGATATTTCCCTAGAAAAGTCATTTCTATTTTGTCTATTAATTCTTATGCTTGTACTGTTAACGAACAAGCTTCTTCTCTGCTACTCCTTCTGTCTGCTCTAATTTTATTTACTGGTGGTGGCGATTCATTACCATCATCAACCTATTTTAGTCGACTCCCAAGGGACGCCATTAACCGCTATTTCCGACGCTTTCAGTTATAACAACTCTACGTACGTCACTGCTCTACCTAGTCGCAGGTTGTCACACACTACGATAACGGTTTGGTGGAATTAAAACTCAATATATTTAAAAAAAAAAAACTGCTGAGACAAAAGACCTCATCTCGTAGCACCGTACCATACCTTGTTAACTTTAAGTGTGTGCGGATGTGGCTCGGCGAGCAGCGCGCGAAGCTCGCGCAGCAGGCGGCGCAGGCGCGCTGGAAACCGGGGGTCGCGCAGGTCGCCCTCGCACGTCACCACCACGCCGCACGACCCGCCGCCCGCCGAGCCTAGCCCATCGCTGTCCGCTGCCATGCTGGAAAACAACCATTGGTACAGTTATTTCTACAGTTACAGATGAAAAGGTGAGGTAAGAATTATTAAGGTCAGAAAAACTCTTTCAACTTGGCCTTCATATAGAGACCACCGTAGTTTATTCCCCGTGAAATCGTCACAATGTCCCAATTGATCTGACTTTAACCTTATATATCCTAAGTGGTCTCACGCCACTAGCTTATACGAAAGAGCAGGCAGGTTCAATATTCCATTCTGATCTCCGAAAAAAAGAGGACTGAAGACTAGCGGTCCAATATATCCTGTCAGTGCGACCTCCACGTGATCACCCTTGGAAACTTCTCGTAGTTAATTCCAAACAAATTGCTCACGATATTCCAAATCCACGAAGTCCCAATGCACATCAGTAGCAGGTACCATTTCATCTTCATTAAAAGAAAAAATCACGATAAATCTCACCATAACAGTGATGGAAAATAAAGTCGTCCGTATGGGTATCCCTGGCTCGTCACTTTTTGCCGCCAAGCAGCTGAGCTTGTATGACCGTATTTCACCGTAAGAATAGCAAATAGGTTGTAGTTTGAAGGTTGTTCCCAGTAATTTCACTGTCATATGTCAAATCCCACACAGAACTAAAATTAGCGGTGTTGGCTCATCACTAGTCGGTCACGATCGACTCAATGTAACGTCCCATCACTAATTCGGTGACCATATTGTATTTCAAAGAGGAAAAATTATCTACGTTCGATTATCTAATTTAACATAAAATTCATTAATATAAATATTGAAGCCAGATCAAAGTTATTTTAAATCAAGAACCAATACACATCCCAAGCTGGAACAACCAGCTATGAAAGTTTAATATCATAGTCCTAAATATTGTATTCTGTGATTTCTATGGACATGGGTAACAGTTGCCACTTTCCATGAGGTGGCAGTCAGTTTTCGCTATCATCATTTTTCCCCTTCCATTCATCTTTATTAAAATTTCCACATTCACTCCCATTCTGGCCATGTCATTTTTCACACTTTCCATCCATGTCTTTTTAGGTTCTCTAGCCCTACAGCAATCTAAATTCATACTTAAGTCTTTTTAAAACATACTCTGCACCTTCGATTCTACGTCATATTCTACGGGAAAGGAAGGGGGTGGCTTATTCTATACCGGGACCATGCGGGAAATACATGGCTGTGTTTTGTTATAAACTGTGACATTTTCTTTATTATTTCAGCCATTAACTATCCACTGCTGGACATAAGAATTCCCCATAAAGGGAGTTTTGCCAGTAGTTGCCGCGCTTGGCAGGCGTGTCGGCAACCGTAGTTAGGCTTTTAAAGATGTTTTAAGAGGGACGCTGCTGCCCACCCCTCGTCCTCACTTAGTCGCCTCTTATGACATCCACGGGAAAGGGAGGGGTGGCTTATTCTATGACACTATGGCAGTGAAATTGCAGAATACAGACACATAACACTTTAGTCCTCAGAAATGGCAACGCATGGGGTATATACACCACAGGTCTTATAGCGTATTCCATGATGTTCACCATGCCATTCATATCTATAGGCGACGGTCATCAGTTTCTATCAAGCAGACCGTCAGTTTGTTTGCCGATCAAAGTTATATCGAAAAATAGAAATAATTTATATTCCATTTATGAGTCATACTCGGGAGCACCATTCAAGTAACAATCAAGACGGCAAACATCACTCACGCATCGTCAATTAATTTCCATAATGCCTAAAGTTATCTAATGTCGTAACTCATTTATGTCGCAAGAGTAAACAAGATATTAGGGTTTATTTAGACTGTACTCTGCCACATAATGTTTTTTTTTTAATGGATGATAATGGAATGGTAACCCCGTCTGCACTATCGGTATACGCTGGCGGGGCACCAGTGAGGGATGACGGGTGAGAATACACCTGGAATTCAGAACGATGGTTTCCAAGGGGGAGCACGTGGAGGTAAATCTGATAGGGTATATTGCTAGCAATGGGACTGATAGTCTGCGTGACTAACAATCCCTTTCCCGCCAGCCACATACTGGTTACATTATCTTTTTTAATAATCACCACCATTAATATATATTTGTTTAAATCTTCTACTGATATTATATTTGTAAAGATATCTGTAAATATAAAGACATACCCAAACAGCTACATTATTATACATGATATTTTCATATTAATTGACAGAGATAAACCTGCCGAGGTTTTCCCTAGACTTTAGAATGGGTCCTTCAAAAAGTCGTGGTAAGTACCCCTAACGGTCGACAAAGTGCGCATGACATCCCTAGTACTACAGGCATCCATAGCCTAAGGCAACCGATTATCATCAAACGCTGGACTATTCATGTCTACAGGTATCAATTGCCGTAATTTGGGGGCCCGTCAGCTAGTTTGCCATGTCATGTTGCATAAAAAAACCTATGGTCCTAGAGAAACAAATTCAGTGGTAGTTGTAAATGCGCGTTCGGTTATCGAGCGACGGCCCAAATTAAGCAACGCACTGCGGGGAATCCCATGCGGGAGACAAATCAGATTTATTCGAGCTAATTATGTCAGGTAATTCGTGAGAGCGTGTTCAAATTGGCGCAAATAAATAAACTTCTATGTATAAATTTAAGTAAAAATAGAGTGGGATTCTTGCCCAAATTGTGAAGTTTTAGAGGCGACTTTCTGTACTTTTTACACTTTTTTTGTATCAGCCATTAAATGTCCACTGCTGAACATACTCTCCCAAAAGCGAGGTATTGCCGGTAGTTGCCACGCTTGGCAGGCGGATTGGCTACTGCAGTTTAACTTTTGGTGATGTTTTAAGAAGACGATGCTACCCATCTCTTGCCTTTCCTTAGTCGCCTATTACGACACCCACGGAAAAGGAAGAGATGGCCCATTCTATGCCGGGAGCACATGGGTAGACTTCTAATAAATAAGTGTAGACTTATTTACAATCTGGAGTGAAAACCCCAATTTATATGAATCATAACAATAATACGAAACTGATTATACCGTCGATAAAATCACTAGTTCTTCAATAATACCTATTTCGATCAGCATGAGGTGGTGGCTACTAAAGTCAGAAATTGTTTTATAATGACTTCGTATAAAGGTTTTTTAACTGTTTTCCTCCGTTCTAATTATTTAAAAAAATTATTACCCAAACTGTATTGCTGTTAAAATAAACTATTCCACACTGACTATTATTTCTGAGCTCTTAATAGGGATAGGAGAAAGGATTACAGAAAGAGACTCGAAGAATCTCAAAGGATGTTATACTTTGAGGCCAATCACTAGCTAGTATTAAAAAAAAATAAGAAAAATATTAGTAATTATCGAAAAAATTAAAAATATTCGCCAAGTAGTTTATTGACATAAAAATGTTTTCAGTTACTTCACGTACATAGTCTGTGACGTGATATACAAAATATGCAGTACGTTAAATAAGGCAACCCATTCCTTAGAACTAGTGTTAAATATTCAATAAGAGGGTCTTTGATTTTTTTTTTCCTAGAAATATCTTTAAAATACCGAAAATAAAAACAGTAAAAGTCCATAAAAGGAACAACTGTATCTTTTTATACCAACAATAATACCTGTGGCACTACGTAATAAAGGGATGTACCATAGACAATAAATTACTTTCGGCGTCGTAGCTTTGTCTGGTGTGCCGCCGCCGCTTTTTTCGGACTTCCCCGCAACCTGCGCGCTTACGCATATCGCTTAGACATTATATTATCTAGAAGCACGTTTTTTTTATTCTGTCGCTTCCAAACATTCGTCACTTTCGAATGTATTTAGTACGAATCGTACGCATCGGTCTACGTTATCGAGTCACGTGTAATTCCTTGTCAGTTCCTACTGGTCCTGCTTAATACTTAGTGATTATGAACATGATAGTCAATCAATAACATGATGTTAGTGTAATGTAAGGCCACCTTTCGATTCCATGTAAACCTCCTTTCGATAAGTCAAGGACAATGACCACATCATACTCAGGCTTTTGGGAATTCCTTTACAGTTATATCCATTCGACTATGGAATAGTCTGCCATCCGAAATAAGGGAATCGGCAAGTATAGGCATGTTTAAGCGTCGTCTAAGAGAGCATTACTTATCACTATGCTGACGTATTATGTATATGTGTATGTATATTTATATATGTTTATATGTGTATATATATGTATGTGTATATGTATGTTTGTGTAAATATATGTGTATGTTTACAGGGTATTTTATGTAATTTATAATGTGTAGTTTGTATTATTCTTTGTGTATACATAACTTATGCGTTTATGCAATATATGCAGATCGTATGACTGCCTATTTTTATTTATAAAATAACACATTAACATGGAAAGGTTTTGCTGGAAGAAATCTCTTATTAGAGATAAGCTCGCCTTTGTACATTATGTTTATAATGAATTGTAATTACCAGTATGTTTTGTGTACAATAAAGAATAAAGAATAAAGAATGACATACGATGTCCCATCTACACAGACCACTCTAAAAGTGATAGAATCGCTCTAACTCACGTCCTGGGGTTACCCCCAGGATTAGGATTGTTGGTACCGTAGTCCCATTGCTGGCAATGTAGCCTGTCAGGTCGATCTCCACGTGGTCCCCTGGAAACCATCGTGTTGAATTCGGGGTGAAAACATCACGATGGGCTATCTGACCTGCTTTTTTCATTCTCACCTATCATTCCTAACTAGTGCTCCGCCAGCGTAAACCGTCAGCGCAAGCAGGTTTACCATTTCATATCATCAATTAAAAAAAAACTCGCATCCTGTGTGGGGTTCGTATGAGAATGGATGAGTCAGTAGGATTCTTTTAGGGACGGAAAGTTCGGCTGAACATCGCGCGACGCAAAATCGGATTATGATGTTTATACATGCGGCGCGAAAGGCACGTGTAGCCCGCGATAGGATTGGCGTAGTTTATCACACTATACTAGACGTATACACTACGCGGCGCTGATGAATGCTGCTGCCGATTAGAAAATGCTGGTCGGATCTTTTTCTTTTTTTTTTTTTTTATACAACTTAGAATGGCAAACAAGCTGACGGCCCACCTGTTGGAAAGTGGCAACTGTCACCTATAGACATGAGCATTACTATGGACATAACAGAGTATACTGTTTCGCCCATGATACCACCCATGCATTGCCATTCCTGAGGACTCAGATGTTATTCCTCCGTACCCTGTAAATTCATGCCATATCCCATCGTTCAAACTGAAATACAGCCATGCAAACACAACTGCTTCACGGTAGAAACACGAATGGGACAGAGGAAAATATATATATGAAAATAGTATATTATATATAAATATATATTTGAAAATGCCATCTTTGCTACACTGTTAGTTGACGCTGGGGGTTCAATGAAGAATAATTGGTGAGGTCGAGGAAACAGTGGTCCATCATGGTGAATTTATCAAGAATTAACTACAATGATTTCCAAAGGGAACCATTTGGTAACCTGACAGGGTATATTGCTATCAAAGAGGTACTACATCCCATTGCTGATAAACACCGCCCTCCTTATTTTTGGTACTGCGGTCTTTTATCAAGATTACCTTCTTATGAACTTCCAAAGGGATTATTAGAATTGCCAACTTTCAGCCACTCAATTTGCCTGACAAAACACTGGCTACCAATTTGCACAATAATTAATGACTGTCACCCTACCGACAAATGGGGTCCTGTAATACACCAGAAAGTGACCCCCCCAACGATTTTGGAATTGAAAGAGTTTCATTTGAGAAGACTTGATTAAGAGTTATTAATTAATTCTCTACAATTTTATTTCGAAAACTACTTTAAAATTAATGCCCTAATCACTATTCATCAGATTTAATTAAAATGTGGTCATTAATGAAAAATATCTTTAGATCAATGCTAATGACCTTTATTTAACCTTAAAAAAAAACATTAATCTGTTATAGATGTTAATGGGTAAACAAACAAATGGAAACAACAACATAACCTCAATCAAAGTGTCAAACAACTCTATAGAAAACAAGAATTGATATCTTTCATTGCAAATAATCACTTCAATCAACTTCAAAGCATATATTACATATGCATCTTCAAAAAAGAAGGTTCTTTTTAGAACTTTTAAAATTTTTATCAAGATTGCTACAGTTTTTGTAGAGCAAAAATTTTAATTATTTTGTATAACCAGGGGAGTTAAAAAGTCTACTTTACATGAATCATAATAGGATTTGCTGTTATAACCTGCCAAATTTAACAAGCATCTAACACCGAGGATGTAATACTAATATACTAGTACATTTACATCAGAATTATACAAAGCAAATTTTAATATGACCATGTACAGAGGAGTTATTAAAGCCCAGTATTACTTGAAAATACAAAAGAAAAACCACATCAGTTTTCCTCCACAATGAAATTAATACCTACTTACATGTTTTATTTTTATTTTTGTAAATATATATATTTATATGTATTCATAGATGTATAAATATGTATATATAGATTTATATAAGTATGTATCAGTAAGTTAAAATCGACATTTATATATTCACATTATTGCACATATCTCTATATGTATTTAAAAAACATACAAAGTTTCGTGCCTCCAGTCAAACTATTTATAATTACTCTTCACTACATCCAAAGGTTGCCTGGAAGAGATCACTCTTAGTGATAAGGCCCATTATTTTCTTAGTGTAATCTTTTCTTGTAATTGTTTGTATTTATAATAAGTATACTATTGTAATCTTATAAAGGAAACAATAAAGGTTATCTTTATTTACACATGGAAATTATACCCCAAAACTGTTCTAACCTCCCAAACAGTAAATATGAATAAAAGAATGCCACAATGTAATATTTAAGTGAAGCATGAATAGGAACAGTATGGAGTATTATAGGACCCCATCAGGTGAAAATGCAATTTTTATCAGCAATAGCTCTGGTTATGCTAATTGGTTAGTTTATAGTCAGGCAAATAGCATGATAAGAGGTTATTTTAATTTGATTTTAATGGGTGATAATAGAATGGTAACCCTGTCTGTGCTATCAGTGTACACTGACTGGGCACCACCAAAAAAAATATTATCTCTCATGAAGATGAGGATGAAATCAAGTCCATTAGTGACAATCACTATGGTTTCCAGACTGTGAATGTGACAAACTCCACTAGAGACAATCACTATGGTTTCCAGAGGGAATCGTGTGGAAATCAACCTGATAGAGTATATTGGTAGTAACAGAGGCTCTTATATCCTCATTACTATCCCTTTTCCCCTTATGTGACAAAATGTTGACATCTCACAGAATCCCTCTAGAGATCTTTAATGGAACTCTTGATATAAAATAGACCAAAGTACCAAAACTGCAAAAAAGGAAGGAAATGTTAGTAATGGGAAGTAGCAACCGCTGGTAGCGATATAGAGTATTTTGGTAAATAGTAATGGGGATTAATAGCCCCATTGCTAGTAACATAGCCTAAGAGGTAAATCTCCACACAGTTCACACTGGAAACAAATGTTGTTAATTCCTGCTAAATTTGTTACAATTGGCCCACCTTCCTTGACTTCATCCTTAGATTTCCCTCAGTGGTACCATACCAATACAAACCAATAGTATAGGCAGGGTTACCATTCCACTTTCATCCAGTAAAACAATATATCCTTTTTATAAGTAACATATAAGCCTTGGTTTTCCAAATACAATTAACAAATAAATACAGTGCAACATAAAACCTTCTCTTTTTTTACATCAGTTAAAAATGAATATGCAAGTTTGAAAAACTAGGTAATTTTTTTTACATATTTCTGGGATTTTTGTATTACCAACATGACAATCTCATTTTAACGACTTTCATAAACCTTCAAGTTCTTTCTTTTACACTAAAAGGTGTAATAAAATATATAAACAAATAATTAAAACTTAAAATAGGCTTTAAAAATATGAGAAATTTTAATTTTTTTATTAAAAAGTATTTACATAGCATTGCAAACTGCTATACCCCAAAAAAAAAATAAGCATGTGGCAATATCATTGTGACCTTGACATTATAGTGTTCATAGACAAGCAGTACATTTTTCCTCATCCATTCCTTCCCATCCTTTCTGTGTTCATTTCTCTCTCACATCAAGGAATATAAATAAAAAAGATATCACATTATTATCATTATGACCTTCACCTTATCCTATCCAGTAGGTACAAGCATTATATTTTTTTAGTCATTCATTTCACCATAAGTTTTTCTATATTAATTCTTCTCCCATACATAATCTTTAATATTTCACTTTTTTATATTTTAATGACTTACCTTCCCTTTCAAGTTATTTTAGACTATATAAATCCATATTTATTTACAATCAGTGTTTGTATTTGTCTTTGACATTGTTTAGATTTATAAATAATATTTATATTGTTGTTTATAAATAATTATCCCATGGGAACATATTGATAGGTTAATAAAAGTATCCTTTAAAAATCCAGGATCTAATCTGTATATATCAAATTGATCCTATCCATTTATCATTTAACAAATTTTACAGTAATAAATATTACAATTTCTTCACAAAATTAAAATATGTCAAAGTCTGGATATACATCTCCATTTAGTTATAAAATAAACAGTAATAGCAACTGTCATAGTTTCAGTCATCATAAAATCAAATGTCAAAGTGTATTTATTCCCACTGCTGGGAATCCTCAGTTTTGTGCATCATTAAAAGCATTTATGTCCCTTGCCTATCCTAAAAAGGGAAAAGGAATTTGAATTGATAATTACATATATTTTTCTTATGAAAATAATATAGAACATTTTTTTAACCTAAATTATATGATATTATTCAATATAAATAAGATTATAGGAATTATAGTGCAATTAAAAAATACATTGACAAAATATATTTTTTAATTGCATGCAATTAAAAAATATATTGACAAAATATATTTTTTAATTGCATGCAATTATAATAGGTATGCAAAAAATGACATATAAATGATTAAATAGAGACACCAGAATTTTTTACATCAAATTATCTATAATTCTAACGTGTACAAATGCTGTGTACATAGAAAAAGGAAAATTTATAGAATATTAATGGCTCATTGCATGTAATATGACATGTAACTAACAAAATACTATACAAATTTTTATGTACAATTTTGTGGCATACTTGTTTACTAATAAGAGTTTTGACAAGTAGCTAGGATACTGCTAAAATGTAAAGCAAAATCTGTTTATACCGCCGCTAATCTAAAAATTTCATGCGCTGATGGAATATTTCCTTGATTAACGTGTTACAACAAGGTCGGTTTCGAAAACATTGGAGCATGCGTTACACAACATTTTTCAGACAAAATTCTACGTTCGTTATCGTAATTGACACTGAATTTAACATTTTCAGGCGACCGCGGCGCGGAGCCGTCCGCGGCGGCCGCCCGACGTCCTGTCACCGCGACCAATGTGTCCATTTTGTAAAGAATACGGCACGACTATACACATCGCAAAATGTAAATAAACCGCAAAAAAAACCACTTACCTCTCATACAATGTCACATTCCGCTCAATTCCACAAATTTTTTAGCCTTATGTGTTGCGATTCATCCTGGAAATTCAATCGCAACATTACAATCCAGCTCGGACGCAAGGCAATATCGGTCCTATGGTCAGTGTCCACTACTCCAAAAACATATGATACAACACAATTGTCCCGCCCCAAATATGACTGGGGCTCTGTCCAAAGCTTATTTTCGCTTTTTCACACAGGATCACACGACTAGAAACACTAGAATCTCATCACGAATCCATTTCACTGATTTATGTTCCAGTGACGCAAAGCTCATATATCGTGAAGAGCAGCAGCCATTTTGAAATGTACGGGGAGTACAGTCACGGCATGGAACATTAGCAAATTATAGCCGCTCTTGTCTATCTCTACAGTTTAAAGGTAGCATAATAATTTAAAAATTCTATACAGTATTCATTTCCACAGTTTAGGACACAAAACTTCACACCATTTTCTTATTGAAACTATCCAAAACAACCTAAACGACATCCGATAATTCCAGCTTACCCCATTTGCATGACACACATAAAATACGAAAAAAACACTCAAAACACTTAAAACCGTACACAAAACGCGTCGTGCCGAATAATAAGAAGTTAAAGCATCACATCAATATAACAGTTCAGTAGAAAAATCGCTAAAAAGATTGGTATATAATTTACAAATAGTTAATTCGGTACGAACAATAACAACGGGCGCCATTTGCAATTTTCAACTTGACATGCGCACTGACTCGAGTAGCAAACACACATGACATTCCTTTTGACAGTTATTCATTATACGAAATCTTATCATTTTGGGAATAAAATGTGAAAAACCGTCTAAAAAACGTGACGATAAAAATCTTAAGAGAATTCTTTAATAAAAAACGACTATATACATTTCCTATAGACCATAATTGCTCCAATTTATTACTTAAATAAATAAATGTTCGCTCATACAAAGTCACAGCGACGACACTCATGCTTCACTAAACATGTATTTTGATTGGTAGATATTGTAATCATCATGTTTTTATAATACCATCCTTAATTTTAATTGGATGCCGCCATGAGCTGTAAAACACAATCACTTCCTGTTATTATAAGAGAATAAACATAAAATGAAAAATCTTAGAAAACAGAACAATTGTAATGTAGCTACAAATTGCAATATAAAACTGTTTTTTTCTAAATATTTCAAAGTCAGTTTAAATTTGTAAACGTCTCTATCGTATAAATGCTGACAGATGTAAATATTGTTCACCATTATAATCAACTATCCATTATCGACTGTGAACATAAATCTCTATTTCGAATAAAAGCAATTTGTGAATACATGTCGTGTTGCATGTCTTTTATTAATTTATTTATTTTATTAGAGGTAGGGTATCTCTATGTATGAAAAAAATCTAAGGAAAATGTCTGTTAAAGGGAATTAAATAAGGTGGCGCTACCGCTGCAGGTGAGTAAATGTTTATAGAAAATAAAGAATTCAAAATTTTCGGTTTATAATAAGACACTTATTAATAGAAAAAGATGAATACGATGTTAAATGTTTTTATTTATTCATTGTATAGTAAATAAAGATATTAAATTTTACAACTCGGTACACTTAATTCCGTCAACTACTGCTAAATCCATTTCATACCCTCCTACTTGCTACTCTTCCCCTGTATGGAATATTTCTCTTTAACCCTTTTCTTCATGCTCAGATGGTTTAGACTGTTAATATATATTTAGATACCTATGTTTATTTATTCCACATACAGTCATAGATTAAGAACAGTACTGCTGTGCTAGTTCTTGTTCTTAGGACGTGAAAATATCTATAAAGTAGAAAATACAATTGATATGTACAGCATCCAGTATGCTAAAGTATTTTATTTATATTTTTTTATTAACAGGCAAGTAAAAAAGCTGATGGTGCACGTGATTGGAAATGGTTACTGTCGCTCATATAAGGGGATGTCCCTTATACATAAAAACGTCAAATCGCTCATAAACTCACTTCAATTATTGAACTCTTTTGTCTGTTTCTTTGGTGTTAAATTCCTAATTAAAAAAAAAGTGACAAAACAGTGTAATAGTAAAAGTAATAAGGTTAGTTTGCAACACAAAGAAGACCGTTACTGCATGGCCGATAATTAAAATTTTTTAAGAGTTCGTTTTTAAAAAAGCTCTAATTCATAAAAAGTTTCTTCCTACCATTTTATTGATTGTATAATATAGGAAAAGCTTAGGAGGGGGAGTTCATTCCACAACATATATGTTACATGAACGAGAAAGAAATGCGTACGATTCACGCAGTGATCATGCACCATGTACTTAAAAAATGAGTATGAAATCTGGCTGGAGAGGTATAGTGGATGGGAACGGGCAATGGAACTCTACAGAACGCTCTCCATTATATATAGATAGTAAAAGACAGAGAAGTGACGTTTCTCTTCATGACTATGAATCCGACGCCACCAGATTACCACAAAAACTTATTTTAAGATAAACATAAATATAAAAACACCATCTATCTATCTATCCATTTAAGAGCTGCGCTCTTGTCGGTGGAGCTCTTGCCACTCACAAAAACACCATGTGTATTAAAAAAAGTAGTTGCCAGATGCTATGTTTTATTTTTACCCATGTGAAATATTTTTTCTCCAAATCCAGCAACGATAAATACTTATTTCTCTCACGTACGGGATTTTTTACGTTTATTGGTCTATTATATTTATATACGTATATCGCTATATGAATTATACGTAATATAACATTACTGTATAATTTAAAGTTTACAAGTACCGAACTGTCAAAAAAATTCTCCAAGCTTATTTAAGTTTTCTCCAAACTTTTTCCAAGCAGTATTTTTAATTAAACAGAATTTTTTACTTAAAATTGTATAAGAAATACCTAAACACCAACTAGTGGTCAAATGCTTAGAAATTAATACCAAATTTATTCTTTCTTATATATTACTATTAAATGTATGTTCATTATGATTGTATGTCGAAACTGAGCGGTAATGTATATAATATTTAATGAAAAAGGATTAAAGATTGATTATTTATTCATATAATTAACGTTTTAACGATTCGACAGGAACAGATTGAAACAAGCCTTTTTTTGCCATTTCATCAGCCCAATCTTCAAATTCTCCTTTTCTAAAAAAATAAAAATTTATAAAAGTAAGATTGACTATTTCTCGTATATTTTAAAAATATTAAAGTGCGAATTACAAGTGGGTATGGTCTGATTATCATGATTAAATTGGTTTTACTATAATAAATTTCAGATTTTGTTTTAGTCGATTCTGGGGTGATATTTCATTAAAGCACAGCAAAATCTTTATTGTAATGATCTAATTTAACTAATTTTATAATACATTTCAGTCAAAATTATTATAATTTTAATTTATAATGGTCCATAAAACACTAATTACACAAAATTATCAAATTAAAATATTAAGCAAAGAGATGCATTTAGAGATGGCACAGCAGAATCGGCCCCAGTGGAGATAGAAACAAATAATTTTCAGAGTTAGCAACCCTGGCAGACTCGAATTTTTTGACATTTCTCTGCAAGGTCTGTGACTTCACTCATTGTATGTTTGGTTGGTGTTTTTCGTCTGTTTGTCTCTTCTGTGATTACCTATCCTATTCGATTAGGATTACGCGCACGAAAACTCTGGATTTAACTACACTTTTTCTACTTTCTCTCTGCTCTGTGTTGTTAGTTTTATATTTTATAGAAAAAACATTTTACTGTTGTTCATTTTAATAAAATAGCCGGGTATTTAAGCAGTACTACATTAATTAACTTTCAACATAAACCATTTGTGAAGAATGTGCTAGCGGCCTTTACTGTTAAGGTATGTTGTTTTGTCGGTATCATAATATTTTGTTAAATCATTCACTAAAGTCGACTGTAAGTAGTGAGTCGAGTGAAATCTCCCAATTATTACCTATAACGGGTTTTCATCATCATCATTGCCTTGCCTTAAAATATTGTGTATGGTATAAGGTAACAAACAAACTCACTTTCACGTTTATTTATATTTATATATATATTTTATATATTTCTCATTGTTTATACCGTGTCATAAGAAGAGACTAAGGAAACTTAGTAGTAAAGGGATATTGTAAGATTTTTTTTGCTATAAAATCTTACCCTACTATGTAATTTATAGTCTAAATGCAGGAAAACATTATAATGGAATTAATATATAGAAAAAAAATGTAATAGAGTAGAGAAATGAACATATTCAAACAAAAAATTTAATGGAAAAGTCTTTGATAGGATTTCTTTATTCTTCTTGGTATGGTAAACACATGATGGGATTATTAGTAATGCATCAGATCCATTTCTGTTACCAATTCCATTGCTAGCAATATATCTTGTCAAGTCGACCTCCACATGATCCACCTGGAAACCATTGTGCTGACTTCCAGGTGTATTTATCATGATGGAATAACTGTCCTGCCTTTTCATTCTTTTTTTTTATTTATACAAGAATAATAAGAGCTGCACTAGTATGAATAGAAATAATCTAAGATGCAAACTAGACCAATAAAAGGTTTTCAAAAAAGTAACAAATTAGCTCAGGAGTTTAGTAAAACTGGAATGGTAACCCCGCCTGCGCTAACGAGATACGCCGGCGGAGCACCAGTGAAGGGTGATAGATGAGAATGAAAACAGGCCAGTTAGCCCATCATGATGAATTCATCAGGAATTAACCATGATAGTTTCCAGGTGGAACCGCGAGGAGGTCGAGCTGGTTGGGTACATTGCTAGTTTTCATCTATCGTCTTTCAATGGTATCCCTCTAGTGTAAACTCTAAATAATACTAACGCATAAAAGTCCTTGTAAGCCTCCATCCTCGGCAAGCTAATCAAGACATAGTAGGCAGCACCTCCAAGAAATGCCAGTCCAAAGCCCTGTGCTATAATCAATTTCGTCTGGGCCCAGTGGAGTCCTCGCATGATGGGTTTGACCCTGCATGGTGGAGCTGGTGGTGGTGGTGGACATACTTGCGGGCACGGCTCAGGAGTCGAAGGTGGACACGGCTGGTAGCTCATGCTAAAAACATCGTCATCATTATATTGAATAGAATATTCAGATAGTAGCTGTATTTTGCGGCTGCGCTCGTATGGAATAAAGTATCCTATGTTTCAAATTAGGGTATAATCAATTCATGTAACTTCATTAAGAGCCAAAGATATTTTGTATATAGTGATATCATATTTTTTTAAGTATCTTTTTTGTCAGATTTAAAAATTACGTCTATTAGTGTCCTATGTGTATTAAAATAAAGTTTATTTTTACATCTCACATACATATCTATCACACTTCATCTCCTATTAGGGAAGGCAGAAACAATAGAATGCCAAATGCTTCAATTCAAACAGCTCTCTTTAGCTTCTCCATTTACCAATCTTTTCATAATAGTAGCCGTAGCACGTCGCATATTTGGTCGACAAAAATCCTGGGACTGCACCTGCCCTCTTCAATCAATCGTTTTTCACCTCTTTTGTTATATGAAAATGCTCGAGACCGACAAAAAAGTGAACTGACAAAGTAACAAAATTGTCTCTTTGAGAAAGTTTGAAAAATGTACCTCTTAAGGGTTAACTAGGGATTATACAAGACTATACAAAAGTTGTCTGTTGGGTATTTCTGTCCCACTCATCTACTGCCAAAAATGTCACTGAGAATTTGATAGCTCAAGTACTAATGTCGAATTTTATGCAATCGACAGATGGTTTACTGATCCTATGGTACCGTATACCTTATTACTCTCGTCTAACTGAGAGGCGAGTCACTCCTAACTATCTATTAGTAAATTTCTTCATTCCAAAATTGTATGCAAAAATATGCAAATAGTATGTATTCTGATCGTGTACGTATTTCATTTAAAATGTACAAATATTTTTTTACAGAATTAACCAAATGAAAAATGGCACAAAGCTCACATGGCGGAAGTCACCGGAGAAGTCGCGACCACGAGGGCGCCATGCGGTACACCAATACCGATTGGGAAGCCAAAGAGGCGCTCTACCAGCGAGAGTTAGACGAGGCAAGAGCCCGCGCCTCCCAGATGGAGAAGACCATGCGCTGGTGGTCGGACTGCACAGCCAACTGGCGAGAGAAGTGGACCAAGGTACGTAACGAACGCAACAAAGCTAGAGACGAGGCGAAACAATTGAAGAACAAATTAGATCTCATCACTAAAGAGTTATCAACATTAAAAGCCGAAAAGAATGACATAGAACAACAGCTGATCGAGGTAAAACAAGACAACGAGAAGCTACTAAGTATAGGCGAGAGCAGGATAGTCTCAGGCGACCTTACGACAGAGGATGGTGTAGAATTAAGAAGAAAGAATGTAGGTTACGTATCACCAAACGAACCGTCGATACGGCAGCGGGCCTCGTTAGATTCACACAAGTTTTCCAACGTCGATAATGTACTTGCCAACAAATTGAGCGAGCTTCGGCTTAAATTGGACGAGACTTGCAAGAATTTGCAAAGCGAGAAAGATCAGAAGGCATTCCTGTTGACGAAAGTGGAAGCGCTCACGACGGAGTTGCATAGCACGAAAATGGAGTTAACCCACAGTGACCGAACATTGGGGTCGACGGATTCTAGTCATAGCGAGGTGGAGAGACTGCAGAACGAGTTGCAGGACGAGATTGCCGCCAAACAAGTTCTCGAGGAGAAGATAGCGGAACTCAAGATGGAGGTTGAGAGGCTAAAATCGGAGAATAATGTGCAGTGGAGCAAACGGGAGCTGCTGGAAACTGAGAATGTAGCTATATTAAGAGAGAACAAAAAATTATACGGACAAGTCTGCGAATTGAGGGAACAGATACACAAGCTCAACAGAATATCTGACGGCAGCGCTTACGGGTTGCAGTACGTTAATGACCACTCGAAATTGGACTCTAATATATTGTACGTAAGGAAGTCCAGCGTGAGTCCTAGATCTCAGGAGTCGAGTAATGGTTCCTCAGAGGCGAATCTTGCACAATTTGACGCGAAAACGAACACGTCCGCTGAAGAAGATGAGTTAGCTATAATCGAAAGAAATGATAACTGTTAAAATATACTCACTATTATTTTTTTGTAGGTGAATCACGAATTTAAATATCAAGACGCTTATACGATTGACAAGAAGTTCAACTGTCTTTTTTTTTCTATTTAAAAATAAGGAAGATATTTTTTTCTTAAGCAAATACTCCTTAGATATTTAACAAGTTGTGAATTTACCAGTTGGCTGAGTAGACTGCTGTCTATAATGGCAGATTTTAGGCGGGAAAAATTCAGAATTTTTTTTATCATGAAACTTCAATTTGATTTATAAAGAAATATAATTAATATGATTGTGAGTAAAGGTGGGTTTTGAGTAATTTACTTACGGCAAATGTATAAATCTGTCACTGTAACGGTAAAAACAATGCTTGCGGACGAATTTCTTTGTTCGTCACATAATGATCATTTAAGACTAATAGTTATCATTATAGATAGTTTAACATTCTCATGGTTGTTTACATAGCAATATAATAAGATATTTTATAGATCAATTTTTTTTCATAATTACATTAAAATGGTTAAGTAACATAGAAATATACAATTTGTTTACTATTCACCCGAATTCTGACGAATAATACATTCCTAAATAAAACAGTATTTAAAAAAATCACATTTCAAGTCAAAGATTCGAAATTTAAAAAATAATACCTAGAACTGATGAAGGTAAAAGTCCTTAAAATTAAAAAAAAAATATCTACAGATATGACTCCTAAAATATAATAGGTGCTATAAAAAAACGAATGTTACTGTATAATCATTATATATATAAGCAAAACCATCGCGTGCTAACATGTTAAATCGAAGCTTAAGTTTTTATACGACATGAGATACAGAGAATCTGCTGCCATATACAATCTTACTAACATAATAGAATTGTAACTGGACGTCTGTACATCGAAGACATTACAGACAAAAATATATAAGATGTTTTAGTAGGAGGAATAGGAGTTAAAACAATATTCTTTTTTTTAGAAATTTTGTCTGTCTATATCTTTGTTCCGGCATCGTGCAAAACTTACTGCACAAAATTAAATGTGATCTTCACTGTTGCGTTACTGAAGGTTTAGCTTGAAAATTGATATATGTTTTATATTAATACGTCATTTAAAAGCGGTTCATTGGTTGTCCTACATCTGAGAATCACACGTACGAAGTGGCGGGCAAAAAGCTACGAATACGTACATAAAAATCGATCGATCAAAGTTATAAACATCGAAAATGATCCAGCATACATTCTACTCTTAGATTATATAGATAGTCTTCATAGAAATGCTTAGAGAAAAACAGGTCAACTTTTTCATACAATTTTGAGCGATAAATAGTTATGAGTGATACCTTTATAACTTATATATTTATTTTATCTTATAAATTCTATATCTTTTTAAAACGTAAATATTGATTTTATTAATAATACGCCATTATAATTATATTTAATAATATGTCAAGATACATTTTATGCGTAAATATATGGAATACTGCTAGAAAAAAACAAGTCAACTATATATATATATATATATATATATATGGATGACTGATCTGTTATTTATTATTCTACCCGCTTATCATTAAAGAAATTTGTTTAGTTACTAAACACTATGTAAAACTTATCACAATTGTAGATTAAATAATTACTGCGCAGTATAATTTTATGTAGGACTAGCGACCCGCCCCGGCTTTGCACGGGTTCACATTACATCACATTAGAAACCTGTAAAATTATCAGTGTTTCTCTACTATATTATGCATGTATTATACATATAAACTTTCCTCTTAAATCATTCTATCTATTAAAAAAACTGCATCAAAATTCTTTGCGTAAAGATCTAAGCATAAATAGGGACAAACAGACGGGAAGCGTTTTAGACTTTGTTTTATACTATGTAGTGATGTAATGTACAAATTCTTCGTATTGTAATTCTGTGTATTTGAGTAAGGAGATTCGTAGACCCTCAAGCAGCTTGAATCAAGCATGTATTCATAATCACGTAAAGCGTACTTTATTTCTTTCTTCTTGGGCCCAGAATCTTTTTTTTTTATTCTAAATCTTACGATAATGGCAGATTTTTTTATTTATAATAGTAAAGTAGCGATCCAACGTTTGCGTTAAGCTTATAATGGTTGATTGAAACATCGAGTATTAACTGCTGATTCGAGTTACTTGAATATCTACAAACTACTTAACCCTTAAAAGCCTGATTTTTTAAATCAAATAAAAAAATATATAAGTGTATCCCTTACTGTGTTTACTAATTGGGAAAAATAGTAAAAAAAAAAATCGAAAAGATATTTTTATATATTTATTTTGAAAAATACATTTAGTATCATTTTTGATACTTTAGGCATTACGGTAATTAAAATATTTAAATTTATTTAACAATGAAACAATGCAAACCCCGGCATCAAATTTGAAACTTCAGGCGTTTAATGGTTAAGGAATATGAATGTTAGTGTTTGTTGAAGATTGTGATAGTCTAGTTTTACAAATTAGGGATCCTTAGTCAAGTACGATGCGATGTTAGCGAAGTCTAATAGCTCAATTACATATTTAATACATTATATTAACTATTATAAGTATACTGAGAGCTACCTGCAATGCCGCTGGTGTTGTGGGTGATCATGGGCGACGGTAGTCGCTTACCATCAGGTGAGCCGCATGCTCGTTTGCCCCCTGTGTTGTAAAAAAAAATTTACGTCCTCAAATATGTTAGTCATTATGACAGTCTAGTTGATGAAACTATCTCATTTCTTATTCATCGTCATATCAGCCGTTAATTAACCACTGAGAAACATAGGCCAAATACAGATGTGGCGTTCTGTTTGTTTTTATGAGGAAAAGAGGAAAAGTCAGTAGCGGTCTGGTTTGTGGAGTATTATATTCTTTGGTCGAAACCGTGTAAACATTTTTACTTACACATTTTTTATTCTTTGAAATTTGAAAGAGCGTGCAATAATATCTTAGACCTTTCAGAATATCGTTGTTTTTCAACATAAATGGTCGTTAAAAAGTTAATTGAAATGAAATATAATAATTAGATTCTTGCACGATTCGATCTAGACGAATGCACAAGTCTGTACCTAATTTACTTATGATCGTTTATGTCGTTCTTTATTTGTATCAATTCGTTATTTTCTGTTAAGAACGAGATATAATAGTGAATATAATAATATTTCTGATAATATTGATATCCAACTGGAGCCAAGGTGCATTTTCATTATGAAAGTAATTTATTGCATCTATATAGGGCCTATATAGGCAATACGCACGTGTCACCCCTAGTGTTGCAAGTCTACAGCTACAGCATAGGCTACAGTGACCGTCTATCATCAGACGGGCTGTATGCTTGTTTATTATACTGGGACACAAAATAGTTGCATCCCATACAAAAAAAATGCAGGTACTATATTTAATCTTTTCAATTGTAAAGACATTTTATTTATTTATTTTTAACTATAACATTTAAGTCGATTGGTACACACGTGTGACTGTAACTACTAATGAACTGTCACTTTTCTCATATTGGGTTTGCTGGAAGAAATCTCTATTGGAGATAAGCTCGCCCTTGTGCACTATTATGTTTGTTTTTACATTTCAATAACCTTTTGTGTACAATAAAGAATAACAATAATAATCTATGTTGCAATCAGTAATATAATATGTACTGGTTTGAACTGGAATAAATAAACAAAAAAGCGCAGCGTACAATAGAAATACAGTTATCTAATTATCCGTTAAATTATCTTCCACATTGTTAAAAACTTTAATTACATCAAAACATGGATTCAAATATAAGAAGAATATTCACAACAATAAGAGTAATAAATATTAAATATGGGCTCAAAGAAAACATTCAAAGCCATATAGCTATCTTAAAAAAAAACAGCATACACACATACAAGTTTCATGCTAGTCACTTGTATGGAAGTCATTTTGTATCTATCTATACTGAACTATTCGAATGTGATTGTTTATTGCATTTTGCAAACATATTATTTTTTATTTAACAAGAAACATGCCCGACTTATATAATGCTATTTTTTTTTTTATAAATAAGGCCTAATTAGATAATGAAGTGCAAATGAATAAGTGTCCTATAAATGAATAATGTACCTAATTATTAATAAATAAAAAACATGTGGTGTATAAAATGGTTTCTATTTTTTCCTCACAATTATATAAACAAGAATCCATACATTGCATGCACATAACATATTATTACGCTCATATTTCTGGAAATTAAATTTAACGTCGACATCTATAATTTTTATCACGAAAAGTTTGTATGAAAATCTGAGTTTCCAAAATCGTCCGCTAGAGGCGCACTAAGTCAATACAAATTTTTAATGCAAGCCCTACAGCAGTAATAATCGTGTTGGCCGACGTATTATTTCTGAGACGTATATATTAATTTAATAAGATTAAAAATGTGGAAATTAATTACACTAATTACGAGAAGATATAGAATATAAGAAATTAGATAAAAACAAATTGACTAGAAATGGTCTAAATTTGAAATGACATTAATGAGGTTTTATTAATTATTTATTTAGCCACCATCAGGAACGATGCTCAATATTGAGTATCCATAGGTTTTAAATGGCTACCACATGAGAATCTAGAGTACATAATTTATATATATCGTTGATGTATAAAATAGCGTTAATTTTGCACTTGTATATAGCAAGACACGGCATGATTTAACATTACGATGTAATATTTAAAGAGATTTTTATGCCAGTATCTGAGAAAACGTGCACACCGACTAGACTCCATCAATAAAGGTAAGTTCATTTCATATTGGCCCGACTAAGAATCGATTCCAGGCTCTCGTTTATGAATGCACAGTATACCACCCTGTTTCACAGAAATCATCTGTTGATATCTTCATAGCTTTTACTCATCAGTCACAATTGATTTTGTCAAAACCGTAACTTTCGGTTTAATATAATATAGGTGACAGGACCTGTTTTCAACCTCAGTCACTGGTATCTTGCTAAATACTGATATCACAAGTAAGATTATCGATCCATTATTACCCGTAAAAATATCCACGCGGAGATGCTTAGAGCAAACCATCCATCGAGTTTCTGCCTTTCTATTCCATGTTTATAAACACTTCCCTACTCATGGCTGGTGCTACTTTCAAGCCTATGATATTTATTCTCGTCATAGCACACTTCAATTTTAACTCAACCTTGCCATCTCAGCTGTACGTATTCACATACTCATAATTTAACAGTTAAATGTATAAGAACATCATTCGACAACATGCAATTTTATTTTGAACGTTTTCCTTTGCCTTTTGTCTCGTCTTCCTCAAAATTAGCAGCTGGCACCATTCCCAGCCTTTTGAATTTAGATTTCATATGATACTTCACCTGCTTTCTCTTTGGTTTCTTAAAGCTTTCTCTCGTCTTTCCGACCCCTAAGTTCCCGACTGTAGACTCTTGAAATGTTGGTATAGCTTCCTTTACTTGGGAGCATTCTCCTTCATCTGCTACAGTTACTGTTTCAGTTTTTACACTGCTTTTTATGTTCTTACCTCGATCGAGTTCATCTACTATTTCTATCTCAATTATTTGATTATCATCTGTTCTTATAAAAATTGGTATTGTATCTATTTGTATATCTAACTCGTGTTCCGGTGGTTTTTCTACAGTTTTAGGTTGTTGGTGAAATTCCTCCAAGTTTAGATCATCATTGCTTTTGTCTAATTTTGAAAGTAACGTATCTTCTTCGCTGCTAGTACTGCTACACTTCTGTCGTTTTCGCTTCGCGGAGACGCTACGTGCTGATTTCTTAAGTTTCCTGAGTTTATTTGAAGAGTCTGTGTCTACGTTAGATTTCTTTGGGCTAGGGCTGTACTTGGCTTTATTTGCTCGTTTTCTTGATACAGGACTGCTGAGTTCGGTTGAACCGTCTGTGTCTTCAGTGTAGTTTTTGGATCGAGGACTGCCTTTTTCTTTTGTGCTAGTTTTATTTGCTCTGAAAAAAAAATATAAATATATATTAGATATATATCTGATAGGTACATTTTTAGAACAGACGCTAAATGTTAACTTTTTTACTATAGAGTAGGGTTTCTTAGAGTCCACGGACATCTTAGGGGTCCGTAGCATGTGTATCAAGGGTCTGCAGTAGGTCAATTAAATGTAAAAATATTTAGTAGGAAATTGTGTAGTAAGTTCGACGAGACACATCGTCATCATCAGGCGGCAAACAGCTTCATCCTCCTCTTGAAATTAGCAGTAAGTGTAATAAAACTACCAATAAAAGTTTTTTTTTTTAATATTAAAAAAGCTTTTTTTCTATTCCTAAATTTTAAGTAAACATTATATTCAATGGGTGAAAATAAAAAAATAAATAAAAAACCTCCCAAATTGACAGTGTCTGACTGTTGCGCCGAGTTGGTATAGCAGACTTAAGATTTTTTGACAATGTAAAATATACAAATAGACATGAAATACTTGTGTATGCATGGCGGTTTTCAGTTTGAAGGTTGAGGTATGGCAATGAAGTGACAGGGCACAGAGACCTAACACATTTCATTCGGGGTGGAGGGACTGTTAGCAATGGAGACCAAGACCTCTATTGCTAGCAATATACCCAACCAGGTCGACCTCCCCGTGGTCCCCGTGGGAAACCTTCGTGCTGAGTTCCAAGTGTGTTCATCGCGATGGGCTAACTGACCTGCCTGCTATCATTCTCACCTATCATCCGTCACTGGTGCTCCGCTAGCGTATACTGTTAGCGCAGGCGGGGTTACCATTCCATTATCATCCATTAAAAAAAAAACACATTTCATTAATTTTCATTTCAACCGTTAACTGTCCACTGCTGAACATAAGTTTTTCTTATAAGAGGAGTTTTGCCAGAATTAGCCATACTTGGCAGGCGGGTTGGCTACCATAATTAGGATTTTAGATATATTTTAAGAGGGACGCTACTACCCATCACTTTACCATTAAGTTCCTTTAGTCACCTCTTACGACACCCACGGGAAAAAAAGGTGATCTATTTGTATGTTGGGGCCACGCGACCACATAACACATTAGTTCTTAGGAATGCCAACGCATGGTTATCATGGGCCAAGTTAATACTTTCCATCAGGTGGGCCGCCAGCTTGTTTGCCTTTCTAAATTATATAAAATAAAATATACAAGTCTGTTTAATTCAAATTATAAATAAAAAAAAGTAAATCGGATTACAGTTTATTTGTCTATACTGTAATCCGCCATCTTGTCGCTGCAGCCATTTTAAAAGAGTGAATTTATTTTATAGTTCAACAACAAAACATACATGATCGACAGTGGCGTACTACATATTTGCCTCCAGTCGACTTCTATAATTCGACATTCATATTAATTACAATTTTTAGACAATAAAATTGTAACTTTATGATTATAAAAAAAATGGCCTCTAATTTGTCGCCCTAGGGTCCAAATTACTCAGTCTGTTGGTATTGATCATTGATCATTCAGAATCTTAAGGTGATTTGTCACTAAACACACAAAATATAAGACGACGCTAGAATTGAGACTTATGATTTTTGTTAATTATTTTGTAATTAAAAATAATTTGAGGCAAAATTTCTAAATTGTGTGTCGTTTTACTTACTTTCTGTTGATACAGTAAAAATTTATCATAACTTTTGTCTTTATACTTTTGTTTTGTACAACTTTGTAAAAATAACACATACTAGCAAGAAACTTTGCAATTGCATGGGCTATTATTCATTCGGGAAAAATCACGTATTATCTGTCACTTCACATTCATACATAATTATGCTCCAGCGCTTCGAAAGGACTTTTTCCACGTTCCGTTGAGAAGAATAGAGCTAGATAATAATAATAATACAGATTATAAAGATTAACAATATATGTTCGAGCTTTATCGAACGGCAACACTGAGAGCCGTCGGGTGGTCTCGGCTTAGGTCGGTTCTGTTCACCACTTCGTGTCACGCCACTGACGGCACCTTACGTGTATTTTTATTTTATATTATTTTAGTCAATTCAACTAACTTTAACGAGGGTTATAACAGTTTTACAGTTCTCTGTTTTATCATTAAATTTCCATCCTTTACTAGTAAAGACCTAAACAATATGTACACTGTAAGAAAGAGGTTGTACACGGCCATAGACCTACAGCTCAATTAAATAGAAAAATAAACTGACTTATGACTTGTCACTAAAATAATCGTTGTAACATTGCATGTAATAAAATATTAAATAACATTATTGGTCTCCTGTAACATTCTACATCCATCATACACAAACAAAATGTATAAATAATTAGATAGGTTGCAACATACTTGTCCGCGACTCCTACAAGGTGCTTCATTTGACCAACGGTGCTTTTCATAGCGCGCGCTTTGATCTGGTGTGCATCAGAAGGTTTTTCTGTTTCTGCTGCCTCTGTCGATTCTAAAATATATAATTACACATTAAAATTCGTACTATATGGCACTGGGGTCTATTCTAAGCCTCAATTTCTGTAACCAGAGGGAGACTTTGTACAAAAGTCGATTGCTTGGGTACCTTTGTCCCATTCGTGTTTCAACCGTGAAGCAGTTGTGTTTGCATGACTGTGTTTCGGTTTGAAGGGTAGGATACGGCGTGAATTTACTGGGTACAGAGGAATAACATCTGAGTCCTCAGGAATGGCAACGCACGGGGAGTATCATGGGCGAAACAATACACTCTGTTATGTCTATGGTACTGCTCATGTCTATAGGCGACGGTTACCACTTTCCATCTTTCCAAAAAAAAACCTATTTCTATTAAAATTTCAATTTGGTATCACAGCAACGTATTCATTGTAAGGACCAATATAAACTGAATTTCCAACAGATTTAAGTGGTTCATAAAACTATTAAACTATGTTCTATATGACAGGGCAGGCAGAATGGTTTTTTTTATAATTATTATTTTAAATGAAACACAAAGTAACTGAGGAGCGTGCAAATTTAATCTTTTTATTTTTAATGTGTTGCCATCTACAATTACAACGTCCAACTAAATGCGATAGGGATGCCATATATGCAACAAATTAAAATATAAGGTTTAAAGAAATGACGACTCAGAATCAACCCCACTGTTTGAATAGAACGTAATAAAAATGTGACCAAGTTTTGTAGAAATTATCAGTAGTAACAAAACCCGTCTTAATTAAAAAAAAAAACCGATTATGTGCGAGTCGAATTCGCGCAACGAGGATTCCGTACAAAATCATCAAGTTAAAATGTTTTTCATGAAATAACTACAAATTTACTATTTTTTTTTCCTTTATTTGTGCTTATATTGTTTCTTGCCAAATTTCATGATTCCAGGTCAACGGTAAATACCCCATAGGTTTTGATTCCCTTTGTCAATGTCAAAATATGCGATATAAATGGAACATAAACGGCCGTATCTTTTGATTGCGTCGATTTAGAAGCTTGATTTGATGATAAAATTTATTTTATTCTGTATGAACCTTATTAAAAATGTTTGCTAAATGTAATGTAATGTAAATAGGACTCTATTTTCCGCGCTTAGCCTCTCATTTGGGCCGTTGTGCGTAAATGTTTGCTAAATAAACTATTATTTATTTATTTATTTACTAGTTATTAAGTCGCTGGCGGAAGACCCAAAAAAAAAACAATTTTATAAATATAACTAAATTTAATTCTAAAATTAATTATTACAATAATAAGTGTCTTTAGATCGATGTGTGATCCGTAAGTGAAGTCATATCGAATCAAAGATAAAGGAAATGGGTATTTTTGCTGTGGGAATTGAAATGCTGACTCGACGCAGGTGTCTTTCTCGGTAGCGCACCTTCTTACGTCATGCTAGGTGGTCCGATCCGATCGCCGTTGAGGGTGTGTCGTAATACTTGATAGGTATCTACTATACCATACTTGTACTTACCTTCTAATTCTTCGCTCAGTCCTTCGATGACATTCTTCAGCGAGTGGGCCAGTTCACTCGGCAGGTTCTTGTCTATGAAGTTGAGGTTTGGATCTAGTTGTTTGCCCCTCCCTGTGTGAATGGGGAAATTATTAATTCACTGCTTTGCATTGAACGGGTCCCGGGTTTAATTCCCGGTCGGGCCAACTTAGGAGACGATCTTTTACATATATTTATGTTTATGTTTAATCCCGCTACCATTTGTATGTGTGCGAGTGCCAACATTCCAACACTGTCTGCTATCTCACCTATTATTATCAAAAATTCTAAAACTTTTATATTAGCCATCAATCTCCGACTGATTTATTTGAATCAAGAATATTAATTTGAGTTGATTAGTGATTTGAATCAAGTGCCATTACATCCATTAACTCCGTTAATAAAAATTCCACTTTCCATCAGGTGGGCCGTCAGCTTGTTTGCTATTCTAAGTTGCATAAAAAAAGCACAGAAATTAAGAATTAGAAAAAAAGCGGTCAAAAATTCTAAATTAGTATCAAATTAAAAAATGTCTTAACATTTGTAATTAGTATTAAACAACCGCCATATTGAATTTAAAAATTTAAAACTAACATCACTTGGGGTAATTTAAGGATTTTAACAATAGCCCATGCATCCCAATCTGTTCAGCCATTTAGAAATTATGGTGCAAAAATGAAACTCACATACATAAACCCAGTACACTCCAATTTCCGAGCAACATTTGTTATTAAAAAAAAAATCCTACGGTTAGAACATACCTAAAATAGCCTCCTTGGCTTCCACGTACCGACTGGTGATGCCTGCGAGGTCTCGAAGCAGGTCCAGTTCCTCCGGCTGCTTGAAGAACACTCCCTTGAAACGTAATTCCATTCTGTCCACATCTGAATATCCTGCAATTTTACCAAAGGGATACTTTGTACAAAAGTCAATTGCTTGGGTACCTCTGTCCCATTCGTGTTTCTAACGTGAAGTAGTTGTGTTTGTATGGCTGTGTTTCGGTTTGAAGGGTGGGATATGGCGTAAATTTACTGGGTACAGAGGAATAACATCTGAGTCCTCAGGAATGGCAACGCATGGGGGGTATCATGGGCGATACAGTATACTGTGTTATGTCCATAGTACTGCTCATGTCTATGGGCAACGGTTACCGGGCTCGGTGATGAGGTGCTAATTGAAAATCAGCGTTTCTGCTTTTGCAGGAACCTTTAGCTGAATTGGCATCCTTTTTCTTTGCCATAACACTGACTGATTTCTACTACATATAAAGAATATATAAATGTAAACTTTTTTTTATATCTTTTTTTTTTTATTTGTTATTACTTATAATCTAAGTTTATGTAAGTGTTATGGTTTTATTGAAATAAATTTTTATTTATTCATTCACTTTCCATCAAGTGGGCCGTTAACTTGTTTACCATTCAAAGTTGCATAAAAAATGCGTATCTATTTATTTATGTGTAATGTAAGGAAAGTTAAATCACAAAATAAAACATACCTTGTAAGTATTTCTTATACGACGGTTCCATGCCATATTGGCGGACAGCGGCGTGGTATTCGCACGGGCCTTTTATTAGAATTGATCCGAGTATGTACAGCACGTCCAGTCTCCTCTCCCTCCTCGCCACCATCTCCAGTCGAGCTATGCTTTGAACATCCTCAGGGACGATTCGAAGCGCCGCGAAACCGGAGTACGGTTGGAGATTTAATAGAGCGTATACTATAAACAGTCCTGCTACTGATTCCTAGAAGGTTTAAAAGCCTTTTTGAAACTTTTTTTGTTTATTGATGGGTGAATATGGTAACCCCGCCTGCGCTAACGGGATACGCTGGCGGAGCACCAGTGAAGGGTGATAGATGAGAATGAAAACAGGCCAATTAGCCCATCATGATGAATTCATCAGGAATTAACCATGATAGTTTCCAGGGAGAACCGCGAGGAGGTCGACCTGGCTGGGTATATTGCTAGCAATAGGATTCTCAGTCTCCATTACTAACAATCCCTTTCCCCCTTGAAAATAGACTTGTTTAGAGGGAAATCTCCCTCCCCCCTAACTTCACTGTATACAATATCTACTAAACCAAGGAGAGAGAAGCGATTAAGATTAATAATAATGAGAAGGCATATAGCATTCTCATCAGGGGTAGCCAACTATTCGATTGCGACTATTAGTCCAGTTGATCGTGGCAAGGCAAAAAATATAATATTGAATGAATGAATGAATGAGTATACTTTATTTGCATTATACAATATAGGAAATAAGCAAGACAATTTACAAACACAACGATACGATTGTATAAGTACAGTAAGGCGGTCTTATTGCTGAGTGCAATCTTTTCAAGACAACCTTAAGGTTTGCTAATCTAGCGGAAGATGCTCAGACGCAATGCTCACACTAATATAAATAAATAATTACTAAGAATAATTTTCATTTTTGTTGTTTTTCCTCTTAAAAAAATAATACAATACTACATAATTGTGTACTGAAGCATGTTGTTTCATTTGAGATTTCAAAAAGTATGTAATTGGTAGATCGCACAGTGTTTCGTCAATAAACAATAGATCTTGTGTCTAGCCAAGTCGACTACCCTTGCTATATAGCATTTTTTAGCTTTAGCTTTATTTAGCCGTCTTTTGTAACAATTTTTTTTTGTATTGTTGCCAATAAAGAGTCTATAAATAAAATAAATAAACAACCCCTTTCCTCTCTTTAGCTTGGTAACAGGGGCAAAAAGGCTCTATTGACAAGCAAGTTAAGTTCAAAGTTATCATAAACCAATTGTAAAACTGAGAGTAAATCTAACAAAATTTTGAGAACCTTGCCACAAACTAATCCGAATTCTTTTCTAATACTACTTATCACTACTGTCTGTCTAGCAAACTTGGCGTGATAATACTTAGTACTATGGGGGGAAGGGATTGTTAGTAATGCGGAGGTTACTCCCTATTGCTATCAATATATCCTATCGGGTCGACCTCCGCGCGGTTCCCCTGGAAACTATCGTGACAAATTTATCGTTGAATTAGCCACAATGGGCTAACTGCTTTTTCATCTTCACCAATCATCCCTCACTGGTGCCCCGCCAGGGTATACCGATAGCGCAGGTGAGGTTACTATTTCATTATTATCCATTAAAAAAAAAAACTTAGTACTGCTTACCTCAAAATTGCTGTTATCAGCAAGCATGAACTGTTTGCCTATGTGAATAAGTTCTTCTGACAGTTCAGCAATTTCAGCACCAGACAGGCGTCCTCTGAAATTATAAAAAATCATTTAAATACAAACAAAATTATATGACAGTCATGAAAAGAAACTACATCATCATCATCATCATCATCATCATATCAGTCTTTGACTGTTCACTGCTGAACATAATCCTCGCCCTTGGGGGGTGTTGCCAGTAGTTGCCACGCTTGGCAGGGAATTGGTAACCGCAGTTAGGCATAGGCGATGGTTTAACCCTTAAAAACCTGATTTTTTAAATCAAATTAAAAAATATATAAATATACTGTGTTTACTAATGGGGGAAAATTGTTAAAAAATCAAAACGATATTTATATATATATATTTAAAAAAAAAACATTGAGTATAATTTTTGATACTTTAGGCATTACGGTAATCAAAATATTTAAATTTATTTAACAATGCAAACCCCAGTATCAAATTTGAAACTTCAGGCATTTAAGGGTTAAGAGGGACTCTGCTGCCCATCCTTCGCCTTCTCTTAGTCGATTCTTACGACACCCACGGGAAAGGAAGGGGTCGCCTATTCTATGCCAAGACTACACGGCGACGATGCAAGGAAAAAAGAAAATTTATAAGAAATAATCAGTAAAATCGGTCCCTGTGGCTACGCCCATGTAAATTAGGATAAAACACGCTTTCAGTTTAGAATTTATGTTACTTAATTACGATCGATTTTTAGACCTCTTTAACCCCCAAAATCAGTTTTCGTTTAATCTCAGAAATGGCTTAACCGATTTGAATGCGATTTTCACTAATGCGTTGTAATTTGCTTCACTTAACATTTGTTTGTTTTATATTAATCGGTTCATAAATAAAAAAGTTATATCTATCTTAAAGAATCACATATAAATCTCTTTACCCCTCTTTTTGAAGAATCCCATGCTGTAGTCCCTTGGGAAAACTTCGGCAGGGAGCTCATTCCATAACCTAAGTGTTCGTGAGAGAAAACATTTTTGAAAACATGTTTTGGTTTTTTACAACACAGGGGGCAGACGAGCATGCGGCTCACCTGATGGTAAGTGACTACCGCCGCCCATGATCACCCACAACACCAAAGGCATTGCAGGTGTGCTGCTGGCCTTTTAAAAAATTAAAAGGTAATATTGGATTGAAAGGTATGCATGCTCTACTCCGCTATTTCCCAACGTGGAATATTAATATTATTAGGTATAATTTCGTTTAACTTTAACAAAGTATCAACTGGGCGATTAAAGTCGTCAAATAAACTTTGTTAAGAAAAATTATGTATGGAGGCATAAAAATTTTAGCAATGTTCAAGTGGGGCATGGCACAAAAACGGTTGGGTAACACTGCTCTACTCACTCATATAAACGATCGAAATTCATGTCCTTCCATATATGGCAGAATGTCTCGTAGTTGAGCTTATCAGACAATAGGCACCTCTGTATGAGCGCTGTGCAGTCAGTGTGAAAGCCATCTGCTACGTAGCACTGATAATGTGCTTGCTGTCTATACATCTCTGTAAATAAAAATACATTAATAATTAATAAAGTTATTTTTGCAACTTAGAACTATTGTTTTTCGACAACAATTTTCAAATTTTCACCGCATAATTACAATGTTGTTTTGCCAAAGGTTAACTGGGAGAGAATGCTATATATATATATATATATATATATATATATATATATATATATATATATATAGCATCAAATCCATCTTTTGTACCAGACAATTTTTGTAATGTCCTCAATAAAGAATAAATAAATAAATGCCAAAGAAGCTGACGGTCCACCTGAGGGAAAGTGCAAACCATCACCTATAGACATGAGCAGTACCATGGACATAACAGAGTATACAGTTTTGCCCATGATTACCTCCCATGTGTTGCCATTCCTGAGAATTAAAGTACCTCTGTACCCTGTAAATTCACTGCCATATCTAACCCTTTAAATCTAAACACAGCTACTTCACGGTTCACTCATCATCACCGGAGACACAATTACTTCACACTTGAAACACATATAAGACAGAGGTACCCAAGCAAACGACTTTTGCACAAAGTCACCCTCTGGTATTACCATGTGACTGGGATTCATTGACCAGGATAAAAGATAGCCTATATCCTACATACTACTTGTATAGCAAATTTCACAGTGATTGATTAAGCCATTAAAGCGCTAAGAGGTAGCAAATTACACATTTATAATATTTGTAATGACTATCTACAAATCCATATTGTACCTGCTGCTGCTGCTTTGCTGCTTGTACATTCGATGCTTACAAATGATGTTGATTTAAATATAATAATGATTTAAAATTTTATTTATCTAGTAATATAATCATTAATGATTTGAGGAGTGACACGTGACGTCATGATTTGGTATATGCGACAACTGAATTAATAATATTACGAATATATATCATAAAGTAATTGCTGACAGCACAATGCTACTGCTGAGTTGACACGAATTTGACCCCATACAGTTGTGCTGTACATGCTGCGGACTCGACAAAACAAGAGGATGAATAATGGTGACAATGCTGAAATATCGTATTAAGTCTGTTTTTTGCTTATGTTACTACTTGTCTACTCATGTCAACCCAACACAGTGACTACTTCCTATGTCACTGTGTTGGGTTGACTGGAAGAGATCTCTTTTAAAGATAAGTTCGCCTCTGCTAACTTTGTTATAATTTTTTTGTTATTACTGTATGTTTTAGGGCAATAAAAAATATATATTTCTTTGTAATGTGGTCAATATAGAATAAACAGTAAAATATCGATAATTGTTTGGCAGATCTTATTTTATTCAACTCCATTCTTGTTTATGAGTTCTGATAACTGGTCATTGGAGCCAATGTTATCATATAACCAAACACCTTGGAAGAAGGGTCGGGGGGAAGGGATTATAAGTAATGGAGTCTAACTGCCCCATTGCTAGCAATATACCAGATCCACCAACAATATCAGGTCGACCTCCCTGTGGTCCCCCTTAGAAACCATCATGCTAAATTCCAGGTATATTCATTGCGATGGACTAAATAACCTGCTCATTAATTGTTTGAGATCGTGCTGGGTTTTATGAAACCTCGTGTAATTGTAAATTATGTTGATTTGGCATAGACGTCTGCGTTTTTTGGAATAGCATTCATTGCTATTATGATTGATTTAATTATTAATGCATAATTTCTATTTTCCAATCACCTTACATTTTTCAAGCAGATGTAATTTCAGAAATGGTTTGCCATGAAATATTACATGCAGTTTTCGTAACTACTTGCGAAATAGCTGACATCATTTTTATAACTTTTGGATAAATTATAAAACGAGAGTTTTTAAGAACTGGTAGATGCTTCTTGCTGCTGAATAGGTTTTGATGATGCCTCAATCTAAAGATTTGATGTTTCTAATGACGTGAATTTGTTTTCTAGGAAAGTTAAGAATTCCTTCAGAAAGGCAATTCCTTGGGGTCTGATAGTGATTGGACATATTCATTGTTAAGCCCTGAGACTAAACTCTGAAGTTTAGTTTCAGGGACACAATATGGACAATGAATGGATTACAAGTTGATGTTAATATTTAAATTTTTAATAGTGTTCCTTCATAGTATCATATATTTTCTTAACTTGTACTGCATATAAATGCTGGATACTTGCTTGATTTAAAAGGATATTTACACAAGAAAAAAAAAGACTCAATATATTTAAAAAAATATTTTACCAAAATAAAACAACATTATCAGCAAGTTATGTTGGTTGTATTTTATCTAATTTATCTTTTTATCTACCAATGCAAATCCGAGGGCGGGTCACTAATGCATATATACCTCAATACATCTTTGGATTAAGCTTCTAGATGTTTTACAGAGGTTTTTATTATACCCTAATTATAAGATTGATTCGTAAATTTAATTGTTTGTTGAAAATATTATTAGTTACCTAGGTTTTGGAAATTAAATATAGGTTGAATAAGAGAGTAAAAATTAAAAAAAACACTCGGCTTGTGAATTGATTACAATATAAGTAAGTTTGACTGACCTTTTAACGTGGTGATAACACTTTTGATTTGAGATTTTACAATCACAATGTATATAGATATATTACACTACACATCTCACAATTCAAATAGACATTGTAACTGTCTATAACAAACAAAAGTCGAGATTGTTCTTTATTTTATTCGGAACATTACTGGTTGTAATAAATAATGCGATGTAACAATTCTATAGACGTAAATACTTGTGAGAATTGATAAGAAGAAAAAAATGTTATTCAAATAGAAATATAAACGTAAAAATAGATTATTTGAAATAGAAAGATAAAAGAGAAAAATATATTGTAAATAAATAAAATTCAAACTTGTAAAAAAAACTTTGTCAAACTGTCAAATATGTTATTCTATTTTTTTTTTAGTACGTTTGTTCCGTTATGGAACGGGCTGGGGTCGGAGACCATGCTGCCTAGTCTTCAGTATGAATGTAATTCTATTTCTATGTGTCAGTCAGTTCAAATTGTCAATATCAAATGTTACTATTTAAAAAATTAATACTGGACAGGCAAAGAGCTTACCCCTTACTGCTCAATTTGAAGATCACAATATCCCTATACCTTCAAACTGAAAGGAATTGATAGTAATGAGATTTAACAGCTTTATTGCTAGGAATAGCTCTATCAGGTCAACTTTCACGCGTTACCTCACGGAAACCATTGTGGTTAATTCTTGTGTATTATATCATAATGAGCCAACTAGTTTTTATCCTTACTTATTATTTTAGTCTTTTATCTTTTCAATAGAGAGAGAATCATTGGCGTATTTAAGATTACTTTCCAGAAAAAGAGGACTGCACAAAAAAAAGGTGCATGTGTACTCTCAGTCATGTTGTTGCTCGCAGCCTGGAGTGAGCATAAGATTTTGGATTGGGCATGGCCACCGTCTATATACAACTATGGAGAAAATTTTTAATGGGACTGAATCCCAATAAATCAAATTCGAAGTAGTTTTATTTATCTCTGTATTGCTTGCATGCCATAATATTATTATGTTAAAAGATAAACTGCATTTACATATGTTACTTTTTATATTCCTTATGGTTGTAAAATAGTGGAAATAATACATTGCAATTACATGAATGTATTTAAGATTCTCATAGAATAAGCCTCTATAAGGTGTTTTTAAAGAACATCAAATAAGAGAATGTTAACAGTTAAATTATTTATTTAACTACATAACACTATTGCCCATACATCAATGCACCAGAACATAGGTAATTCTTATATTTAACACAATAAAACACCGGTTATGCTTACAATTATTTTAATATTGATTTGTATCGATTTGGTAGGTTAATCGTAAACTAGCGTATCTCCAAGGATATACTTTTTTGCATATGGCAACACGAGGAACCACAAGCAACGAAAGGCTGTGTGCGACGTACGAGATACGTTATTGCAGTTGTATTAAATCACTACTTTTAATAAAACTAAGTAGAAATCGTGTTTAGAGGACTGGCTTTTCGGTCAGTTTGTACCAATGTCCGCATTCGCAACGACGAGGGTGGCCCTGTTAAAAAAAAACAATTATTATAATAGCAACATTAAAACATATAATAAAAGAGGAAATATGTGAGAGAAGAAATAATTTTCTTATAATATATTAATTATTAATATCTAATTTATTTATTAAAATTTAATATTAACCTGGATAAAATTCAGTTTTAAATTTAGATTCAAATTAAAATACACTGTCATTATTGTTTATTTATTATTAATGTGAATTTAAATGTTAAAAAGCAATAAACATACATATAAAATAATAATATATGGCGCAGTCGAAGAGCTTTAGTGCTCTTTTATTCGGATTTTACCAATATTTATTATTTTTGTATGCTGTATTTCAACTATAATTTTTTAATTTTGAACATCATTCATAATTAATACTTTTCAAACAATTGAACTGAAAAGGCTAAATAAACGAATTTTTATAATTTCAAAATAAACCCTTATTACCAATTAATTTACTTTGTTTTTTCTTTTGTTGTAATTAATTATATTTTGTAAATATTAACATTATCTAATTTATTACAACAAAAAAAAATAATGAAATTGATAAAATTATGATTATTATTAAATAACAAAAATATAGAGATAATTCATTTTCCACATTCCATACTTATATTTGTAGTGTCAGTTCTAAAAGTAAAATAAATTTTAAATGAAAATTACCTTATGTAACCAAAGCCAGGTGATAGCTGTGGAGTGTTCGTCACCTAAAACAATGGGCAATAAATATTTAATATATATATATGAAATAATAAAAAAAATTAATTCCATGTCACATAGGGCATAGGGTTTGATGTCCTCTGCACAGGGTTCAATATTTTTCACACTGGGCTTGCTATCTATATATATTGAGTTCTTAAAAAATGCTAAATTCCAAGTGTATTTATCACAATGAGCTAACTAATCTGCTGTTTCATTCTCACCTATTATCCTCCACTGGTACCTGGCCAGAGTATAACATTAGTGCAGGCATGGTTACAACTCTATTATAAAAAAATAAGTGCCTTGTTCTTTCTTGTGCAAATGTTAACTATAACAATTCTGTAGACAGAATAATTATGTAGAAGTATATACTTACATATGCAACCAACAATACGAGCATCAAAACACGAAGGTACGAGTGTGGGATTTTCGCGTGTGCCTGCATTCTTCTTCAGTACCTTCATGTTGAAGGGATCATCCTGACCAGCCTGGAGAGCCAACAGTTCTTTCCTTTCCAAACCAGTTGCATGTTCGAGGGGATCAGGCATCACTGTTGAGAGAAAATTGTTTATTTGAAAAATTATCCATTACTAATTGTAGCAGTGTGTCAAGTGTTTCTAATGTTGTTTGTTAAATAAAAAATGACTATTCAAAAATCCTTATTTTATTCGAATAAAAATAAATTTTATTTTTAAGCTACTTCTGATATGGCTTTACTACTCTTGTGGGTGTATTTTTTTTATTCAAATTTGTATTGAGGCTCAGTACACCTGGATGACCATGCCAGTCTCACCAAAAATGGATGGATGTATGATTTATCATATCAATTAGTTAGATATACCCTTGTAAAAATGTCTGTAAGCTAAGGATTGTGACATTATCATTGAGTAAAGGCATTCTTATAAGGGTGTTACCATAAAATGTCTACAGAAAATCTCACATATGGCATATTCAACAACATCTTTAAATATACTCCAAAGCATAAAGCAAAAGAGAATAATTTTTATATCATTCAAAGTTTCTGGGTTTCAAAAACTTCAGCTGTACTCTTACGCGTCACAAGTATCTATTTACTAAATATTAATAACAGCTTGTTTATACTGGCGTAGAATAGGCTACCCCTTCTTTTACCATGGGTGTTGTAAGAGGGGACTAATGGAGCTCTAAAGTCTAACCGTGGTGGCCAACCTGTCTACTAAGTGTGACAACTATTAGCATTGTTTAGCTTATGTTTGGCAGGGAAAGGGTGATAAGATGAAAAACATCTACTTATTTAAGACTAGATGTATTCCTTTGACTTACCAATAAGAAATCTATTGCTTTACCAATAAAAATATTGGAATGAAAAATGTTGGAATATGATTAGGTAATAGCATCCAAATATTTTAATAAACTAATATTCAAAATATTAATAGGATACAATACACTAGTCATTGCCTGTGGTAAATTGTGTAAGAGGTCATCATCATCATCATCATATCAGCCTTTATTTGTTCACTGCTGAACATAGGCCTACCCTATAAACTGCTATAAGAAACAGTCCTAAAACATCTGCATTCACTGACTTCCTACAATGCATTTGAGGTTGTCAATTCAAGTTAATTAATACAATCAACTTATGAATTAATAGTGTAATGATGTCCCAAAGACAATTAAAACAACAACAAGGGAGGAACAAAAATGTAAAAAGAAAAAAGCTAATAATAATATGAACTAACTAGAATAAGTTTACTCAATGAATTTTATTCTGTAATTAGGATTAGGATTCAAATATTTGATAAAATAAAGAAGAAAGAAAATGGGTAATTAGAAGATTACAAGTAATTAATGTAGGTAATTACCTAATTAGCTTAGATATTTTATTAAATGTAAAATACCGTTAATATTGTACAGCAATTTTATCGATAAAAAGATAAGAAAAGATAACCTAGAAATTAGCAAAATTCATTATGATTTCTAGTTCTAAGATTAATGATATTATTTGCTAACTAAATATATAAAAATTACAAGATTTAGGAAATTATTTAGAATAATATAGAGCCAAGTGAGAAAAATAATCGATAAAATGTGCCATTACGAAAATATTTTTATGTAACGAATGCGTCATAGAAAAATCAATGGGGAGAGTAATGACGTATTAATAAATGGTCCTGATAAATTTATAAGATTTTACATTTTAGACTCATTTGTTTGTAAAAATGTTTTAAAAAAGATACGTGTGTTTTACTTTTTTGACATTACGTAACTCAAAATTTGACATTTGTACTACATGGATTTGTGATAAAAACTTTTAAAATCTTACGTTTATCAGCATATCCCCTTCGGGCGGCATTTACCAAAACACCTTTAAATGCGTTAGCGCGGATAATTTGTCTACACAAAGATGCCATTGTGCTTTTTATTGTCACACTAGACCGCTTCGAACGATAGCAAGTGCACTAATTTTTCTACAAAAAAAAGACGAAAACCGGTACTTTATGGACTTTACCGATTTTGTTGATTGTCTATAGTTTGCCCAAGACTGGCAACAATGTGGTCGATTCTGAGTAGAAATTCTACAGACTACCGTATTAATAGTATTAATAAACGTGCTACGTCTTCTATTATTAGGATGAGACTTGGCCATGTGAGTTCCCCTTCTCATTTGGCTAAGTTAAAAATTATGAACAATAATATGTGCAATTGTGGCACAGATGTGGGTGATTTGAATCACATTCTCCTAAATTGTCCTCTCTATGACCATTCTGTTCTTTTCAATTCCCTCCTTTCTCTCCGTATTTCCTTACCTATATCAGTTCCAGTATTATTGTTTCTTGATAATTTAGAAGTATATAATTTGATTTCCTCTTTTATTCTTATCAATAATATTAAGTTCTAAATTTTCTTAGTTTATGTACTTTACATATACATATTTATTTTTATGGTTAAATATATTGTAATTTCTATATAGGTATCTGTCCTTTTCCTTATATTATCCATTATTTCTACGTTTCTGAACCTTATCCTAAATTCCGTCGTCCAAAACTCCTTTACTAAAATGCTATTTCCTAAACTTTGTTTTTGGCGGATGCACTTCGTGCCGTGCCATAAAAAAGAAAAAAAAGAAAATATTTTTTTTAGAATTTTTTTATTAGAAATATATATATATATATATATATATATATAATAAATAAATGATTTTTTTTAACATCGGTTAATAAACAACATGAGGTGTTTAGGTATATTTTACAAAAATGTACAAACATATATATATATATATATATATATATATATATATATATATTCGCTTCGGTAAATGCTTTATCTGTGACAAAATATTAATAATGTAGAAAAATAATAATATTACCAACAAATTATTTGAATAAAGAATGTTAATCAGCTAAAATGGACTTTGAAACGTAACTTCATCCATGCGATCAGGACATATTAATTAGCCGAAATCAAAGTAGCCTGTGCCTTTCATTATCTCTAATAGTATGTGTATGTACACCAAATCAATAATGTTGTTAAACTTTTAGAGCGCCAAGATGTAATAAACAAACAAACCACTTTTACATTTATATTATTCGTAAGGTGTTATACTTCACTTGTACCAATTTTTACTTCACATACAATTTTGAAATAAATACAAAAAAATTTAAAAGCTTTCTTGAACCATGTTTATGACTCTTACATTAGGATCGAAATGTTATCGCATTTATAATAAATAAACAATCGTGGTAAGAATCAGTTTATTATGCATGTTATCTCAAATGTTTCAAAATAATAATGTTTTCTTTTTTATAAAATGAAGGTGACAAAAAAACATACAACTCGTCTGATGGTACATGGTTTCTAAAGTCTACGGACCCTCTGTAATAACATACCATGAGAGGCAAATTCTTGTTTTTCGATTTAAGGATTTAATGTCACTCAGGATTGTCGAAAATAATTATTGAAGTCTTTGACCTTAATCAAGAATATGTTATTTTAATAGATTAATATTTGAGATTGCTTTTAAATGAAGAAATTCTAAATAATAAAGTTGATATTTTGGATCAAACTGCATGTGGTTGCTTGATTTCTACATGAGTTTTACATTTACTTACAGTGACGTGAGATTGAATATGTACATAGTAAACGAGAGATCAAGTTTTTTGTTAAAAGATGTTAATGTAATATATGTAAATAAAAAAGTTTATGATCAATAGTCATAGAATTTATTATTATTAAAATCAACAATACTATAGATAGTCTCAATCTATCTAATTCTGTATCAGAAACATCATAATCTTGTGTTTACCTCATTATATAGGCATTAACAGTATTAAATGTTTGCTTCTTCTAAACTTCTCAATTAGCTGGTTATTTCATGTCTGTTTCTTTAGTCACCATAGGAATTAGAATTATAGGATTAGACACAGATTAATTATGTTCTCTTTTTAGAATAAATTTCAGAAATGTTAGTTCTTTGGATGTAGTACATGCTAAGATCTGAAATTTAAAGAAATATTACCATAATAATGACTTAAAGGTTGCAGTTGTTTTGTTTTCCCTTAATATATTTGCAAATTATCTTTGTGGCACTTATAGGACTAATAATTTATTTGTATTAATATTTTTAATATTAAAAGATAATGAAAATTGTCACATATACAATTATTTGCAATCTATTGTCATTCTTATTACTTACTATTATTAAAAATTGCACTTTCCGATTAATCTTCTTTATTTTATTAGCACATAAAATCATTGATATAATTATAGTATTTATACGAAATCAATTTCTTGTTCGCCCACTTCTTTGAATAAAACAGCCCTTGAAAGAATTTAGGCGTACATCAATTTCTCCTTCTTCTAGCTAAAATATAATAAATAAGTACTTTGTGTTAAATAATTCTGGAACAATAACACACAAATAGTTCAAAAATAAATATATAAATAATTAATTTTAAGTGCCGTTGTTAGGAATTTTCCTTCAGGCTTGACATTATAAATCATATACAGATTCAATATTTTTGTAAAGGTTCAATTATTTAAATTGAAAAAATTGCGAGTGCTAGTGTTGCTGGATAGCCGTCGAATGCAAAACTTTGTAGTTCTGGTGCCATGATGAGGAGGTGGAGCACCGTAGAGTAACCACTTGTCTTTCCAATGGTAAGCGAGATTCCATGATGGATTTTTTTCTATAGAAAAGGTAGTTATAGAGCTAGGGTGAGACTGCAGCAGACAACCTCTACAAATATGCGACTGAAAGATACTTCTTCTAATGTGTGATATGTATTAATTAATTAACTAATCGTATTTATTTACTAGAAGTATTTTAAAACAGTCATAGTCATTATTAAAATTTGACTTAAATGTATTCGAAAATTCGTTTACATAGATCAATATTTCACCGTGATATCATATTTATAATATAAGTTTTTATTTTAGAAACAGGTTGAAAGAAATGGATCCTCAGAATCAGCCTCATTGTCTCTATGGTCGCAATAGATTGCTAGTTTACGTTCACAGTCCTCAGCAACAGACATAATAAGAAACAATTTAGTTTTTAGCGAATAAGGATTTTGCAGTACCTACTCGTTTTGTTAATAATGGATGGGTTTCTATAAGGATTTTTTTAATCATCACATCTATAATATATAAATCAATCGTAAATAATGTCAGTGGTGTATATGTATATATACAAATATAGTGTAATTCATATAACGTTGTGTATAAAATCAAACAATTTTATATATACGAGTATTATTACACTTGCATTTTCTCATAAAATTAAATAATATATATGTCTCCATCTATGCTCATATACCTGATCTGCTTGGTAAAGATCTCTATAACAGGATGGAGAAACGCACTCCCTCACGCATCTGGTTCTTTGCAACCCATTTAAGTGACTACAAGCACTACTTTGTTCACATGCTGTTTCAAATTCTCTGAATGTCATTTCCTGAAAGAATGTTATTTAAAATGAATATGGAGAGTATAAGAATTGAAATGAATATATAATTAAATAACTTATGGTTAAACGAAAATTCTTCTTTAGTGAATTGTTTATAATAATTCTATTAGTCTATGCATTTATTTTATATCCTTACGTTTTTTGGAGAATCCTTATATTGATATTCTTTGAAAGTGAATGTTACTGGAGTATCAACCTCTGCATTATAAATTTTACATATTCCTAAAATGATGTACACACATATTAATCCATAAAGTCGTAACATTTTAACACCAATATCACTAATTATGTTTGCTTCGTTTCAAAAAATCAATACCTAAAACAACCACCTGCTGCGCGTTTCACATTATTGCAATTTTCTACTGTCATAAAATTTTTACGTTTTCTAGTAAATAAAAAAACATTTCAATAAAGTTTTAAGACTTCTATTTACTGCAAAAATACTTTTGAAGTTTGATTAATTAATTTTTAATATTTAATAAAAACCGTACTCATCCAAAAACTTAATCGTAATTTTTTTATTGATAGACCGCTTCACTAGTTCTCGTTCAAAAACCCATCGATAGACAGAGCCTTATTAAAAAAAAAAATAGCTAAAGTAAATATGTAAAATAGTAAATAAGTATTTTAGATAAATTATATTTATTTTATTGACAGAACAGAAAGTTGTTAAGTTTATTTTGATATTATTTACTTTACCAAATTTTTTTTTCATAGACTACAAAATGCAGACTAATTTTGAATCTGTATTTGCTTTAAATTTATGGTTCATTAATTAATCTGTTTGTCTCTATAACAAATTATCTGTCGTTCTCTATATAGTTTCGCAGTTTTCTTCATATATTTATGTGTTTGTCACGTTATAATCCTATTTTAGTTTCATAATCAGGAATTGTGAGATATTTCTAATCAGAAGATATTGTGCACTTTTGAGGTTTTTGGTACTAATTTTACGTTAGTTACTTATTTCACAAGAATTGTGCTCGGAGGCTTTGGATTTTTAAATGAAAACATCAAGGCTATTTTTTCAGTGGATCCTATTATCAAAATCACAACAATAACATCGTTCCGTAAGTATATAAATTCTAATTATGTATTTATTTATAATTTCAAAAAGCAATATTAATGTCCTGCGTAGTTTTTTTGTTTAGAACAAAGACTATTGGTAAATGTAAGTACTTTTATTTTATATTTACTATTACCTGCTTTATTCGTTAATGATGTATGATTTATTTAGGTACTTAAATAAATTATATGTCTTTTTGTTATTTCCGAAATATAATACGCATTACTAAATTGAGATTTACATATAAATCTAAGAAACTTATCAATTAATTGATCATAATTGTGTCGTATTTTCTTATTTATTTTTAATCTTCAATAACCAATATGTATCTTCCTTTTTAAAATTGGTTCTATCAGTTCATTCTTTGACAGGTTTAAAATATTATGGTTATAATAAATACTCTTTAGATCTTTGTCCTTTAACTTGTAATATTTCAAAATGTAATTAATCCAGTCTTAGTAACTATTTCTATATAAACCAAATTTATTTTTTATTTATTTATATTTTATTGTACATACTAATAATACATTAAAAATATAACAGCGGTAAGCAAATGTACAAAGGTGAGCTTAACTCTACAAGAGTTCTCTTCCAGCAATCTCAAGGTGGTAAAGAATATCACTGTCCGCACATAGAGTGGTGTACAATATTTTTAAATTTACAAACAAAAAGAACAAAACAAATTTCATTTTATACATAACCAAATATATCATATTTAATTGTATATACTCACACATATATATACACCTAGAATGATTATATACTTGTACATACATACATATATATACTTACATGTATAAATAAATACAATGTGTTCATAAGAATAGAAGATGCTCTTTAAGTCTATTTTTAATAATATTTAAGTGTCGACTCACATGAATAGTTATGGGTAGCAAATTCCAAAATCAAGCAGCATGAAAGATAAAGAATCTGGAATGGCTCATAGATAATTTAAATTATAGAATAGAGTATTTGTAATTATAATTTATTCACAAGAGTAAATGCAAAGGTGCAAATGCCATACAGCCTAAATTTAGAGACAGAATATTATTTTTTAATTAGACTTAACTTTATAATAAATGATTTATCTATAAGGCTGGTAAAATTAACTGAAGCTCTATATATTTTAAAAAGGTAGACAATCACATTAGGAGTTTGACTACTAGTGCAATTATTTACCTTTTATGACAACTAGGATGTTGTTATCTGATATTAGACTAAGTTTCTATATATCAGTGTACAGTCTAGAACAATATGTAGATCAGGGTCAATTTTGCAATGGCCTTGCAATTGCCTTTAATTATTTAATTAATTTAAAATATATTTGTATATAGTTGTAGTCATACTGTCTTTATTATGTAGATTGTATAGTTTTAAGCTTATAAAAACTACTAATAATAATATTTGTTTTACATACATGTAAAATGTCTGGTTTGAAGTCTGTAACATGTACATGCTAATATCATAATCCTATATTTATATGACTACCCACAGAAATGAATATAATGATTCTAATATGTACAGTGAAATGTGGACATGTTAAATGTTACATTCTAATGGTAACAGTCAACAAATATCTGTAACTATTGGATGATTGTTAGTAATAACATCTAACAACCCCATTGGTAGCAAGATACCTTATTGAGTCGACCTTCACACGGTTTCCCTTGAAACCCATTGCATTTTTTTTATGGGTGAAAATGGAATGGTTACCCTGCCTGCGACAACGGAATACGCTGGATGTGCACCAGTGAAGCATGATACATAAGAATGAAAACAGGCCAGTTAGCCCATCATGATGAATTCATCAGGAATTAACCATGATAGTTTTCAGGGGGAACCGCGAGGTCGGTCTGGTTGGGTATATTGGTAGCAATGGGATTCTCAGTCAGTTCTCAGTCTCCATTACTAACAATCCCTTTCCCCCCAAACCATCGTAGTTAATTCTTGTGGAATTCGTTACATTGGGTTAACTGACCTGCTTTTATCCTCATCTCTTACTGGTGCCCCGCCAGCGTATACCGATAGCGCAGGCGGGATTATCATTTTATTTTCACCCATTAAAAACATTTTAAACTTCTAGAAGCTTTAAAGGCCATACAGGCATTCCCTAACGTAGCAATTTACCTCTTTCAGGCAAAAATTAATATGTCGCCCTTTAAATATATTAACTCATTTTACTGCTCTCCTCTCCTAGATCCGGCCCTGTCTAAAGGTAAACTTGCATATATAACACAATAAACTTCATATAAATGTAGTTTAGTCACTGTCAGCATTTGTACTGAAGATGAACTCGGTGCAAATCTAGTGCACGTGCACTGAGGCTGTCACACCTGCCTGCAATATTCAACTATAATGGCTGTTACCAATAAAGTCTATTTTAAGTTTTGAAATACTATAACCAGTCGTGCATTTTTCACATAGAATTTCAAATCGTATTAGTGAAGCGTTAAGGTTGTTATTAGCATTTTGTTAAGCAAGCTATTCAAACTCGCTTGAATTTCGCAATATGACAAATCGATTGTTTTATTTTTTTTCTTTACAAGCTATCGACCTGCCTGCCTGTTTATATAAAGGTTGTTGAGTGATGCCTTCGTCTTTATTGTTACTATATGACATGGTCAAAAAAAAAAAAGAAAATGCAGAATTGATTATCATCGACTCATAATTTATATGTATTGTGTGGTGATGTAGACGGAGTAAAGGTGTGATCTGTCACCATATTATTAGCATAATTTGCTTAATATTTTACAGGTGTCACAGGAAGCATATTCATTCTGAATTTATTTCAAACTAGTCAGTTTTCGCAGTTTTGCTCGCATGTCGTAATATATAGAATATTCTATATGTTAAGTTAATTATTCCAATATTATTTTTTGGATAACAAACTTAACATATTCGTTATTGGACCAGTATATAGATATTGCTATAATAATCACTCCTAGTATGTACATGTATGTACACCAGAGGGAGACTTTGTACAAAAGTCGATTGCTTGGTTACCTCTGTCCCATTCGTGTTTCTACCGTGAAGCAGTTGTGTTTGCATGGCTGTGTTTTGATTTGAAGGGTGGGATATGGCGTGAATTTACTGGGTACAGAGGAATAACACCTGAGTCCTCAGGCATGGCAACGCATGGGTGTATCATGGGCGAAACAGTATACTCTGTTATGTCCATGGTACTGCTCTTGTCTATAGGCGACGGTTACCACTTTCCATCAAATGAGCCGTCAGCTTGTTTGCCATTCTAAGTTGTATAATAAAAAAAAAAGTAAGTTCAGTCAATATTCATAGTAACTAAGACAAAAGGGTAATCAGTAATTTTTTTTATTTTACATTGACAGGCGCTGCTGGGATGCATATCGCCTGCCTTTGAACCAACAAGGTTCTTAACACATAGTACATTTTATATGTCTTTATAAAAAAATACTAGCTTCTGAATAAACTTCAAATATATTTTAAATACACAATCAGGACTTAAATACGACTGGACAGTCGTAACCAAAGATCCACGTCGAAACGTCGGCAATAAAAAAGAAGCTACTATATATATATATATATATATTCTTTATTGCATTTAAACAATATATGCGACGATTGGTTTAACAACGTGTTAGCAAGGGAGGACTTATCTCTGAAAGAGATTTCTTCCAGCCAACCCAGTGTAGTTAGAGAGAAAATAATTTAATTTGGGTAATCCAGTGCAGGAAAGGTACCAGTGAAAATAATGTAAATGCAGCAAACACTATTGTGAATAATAATAATTAAGATTTTTTTATACAACTTAGAATGGCAAACAAGCTGACGGCCCACCTGATGGAAAGTGGTAACTGTCGCCTATAGACATGAGCAGTACCATGGACATAACAGAGTATACTGTTTCGCCCATGATACCCCGCATGCGTTGCCGTTACTAATATTAACTAGTGTAGGTAAACCAAATCCTGCTCCTGGTCTACCTTATTACTGATCCTGATCCCGGTGTTGCTTAATAATAGTGAGTGCTACTACCAATTTCCTATATTACTATTTACGTATATATGTACTAGGTTAACTTCTGTTGTTCTATATATCTGTACCTAGATATTTCTTAGAATATCTAAAGATAATTTTGTTATTAAGCGCAGTTTCACTAAATCAATAAAGGATAATATCTTATCTTCGTAATGGTACATAGTGATTATGTAACGGTACGTGTGCTTCGGTAGTGTAGTGGTTAGAGGATTCATTCGAGAACTCGATTTCTGGGTATTAATAATAATAATAATTAAGATTTTTTTATACAACTTAGAATAGCAAACAAGCTGACGGCCCATCTGATGGAAAGTGGTAACTGTCGCCTATAGACATGAGCAGTACCATGGACGTAACAGAGTATACTGTTTCGCCCATAATACCCCCCCATGCGTTGCTATTCCTGAGGACTCAGGTGTTATTCCTCTGTACCCTGTAAATTCATTGTCATATCGCACCCTTCACACCGAAACAGCCATGCAAACACAACTGCTTTATGGTAGAAACACGAATTAGACAAAGGTGCTTCAAGCAAACGACTTTTAAATTATAAAAAAAGATTGTGTTCCACAAAAAGAAAAACCGACTTTAAATATGGCAAAATCACTTATTTTAATTTAAAAACTAAACTACTGAACTAATAGAATTTTTATGGTACCAATTTGGATCCATAAAAAACAATTTTCCAAAATTCAGTTTACAACTGACGGAGTTATGAGGTAAAAAACATGAATAAAATACAATCGTATTGAAAACCTCCTTTAATTGAAGTTGGTTAAAAATATGAGCAATTAACTTTATCCTTCGGATTTGCTAAGAATAAAATTTGATTTAACAAGAATAAAATTTTCAGTTTAAGGTGATACCTTAAACTATTTATTGAGCATGTTCAGAAAGGATATTCACAATTACTTCTTCTTAGTTAATTTTGAAATGTTTTTAAATTGTTTATTGATTCAAATAGGGTTTCCCCTGTTAGTCCCATATTGATTTTATCGCCATTTTTTTTTCGAAAATATTAAATATCCTTTTTATTTCTATTATGGACAGGGTGGTTTGCTAGCAATGGGACTGGTAGTCCGCATTAATAATCCCTTCCCCCCTACAATTTACATGTTATCGCAGAGGCTGTGAGTCACCAGTTCCCTGCCTATTCCCTAATGTACCTGATATATATGATAGGTATGTTTCATAAGTAACGTTGAGTATGTTTGTCAGCACTTTAACCTTTGCGGTATTACGCATTGTATGTTGGTAATTAGCCGATAACGAGTAACTCTCACTGTATTTTCGAGTGCATTGAGTACAGCTGTACTGAAATGTACATACGTAACGGTTTGCACGTACTCAACCCTGCAGATGTCAAGTGAAAAATACATATAAAAATTAAAAAAAAACCTCATGAGACAAGCTCTGTGTGTGGTTTCGGCAGAATAGGCCACCCCTTCCTTTCCTGGAGGGAAAGGGATTGTTAGTAATGGAGACTGAGAATCCCATTGCTAGCAATATACCCAACCAGGTCGACCTCCTCGTGGTTCCTCCTGGAAACTATTATGATTAATTCCAGATGAATTTATCATGATGGGCTAACTGGCCTGTTCTCATTCTCATCGATTTCGATGATTCACATTCACTGGTGCCCCACCAGCGTATCCCGTTAGCGCAGGCGGGGTTACCATTCCATTTTCATCCAATAAAAAAAAAACACCTTCCTTTCCCGTGTTTGTCATAAGTGCCAACTAAGGGAGGGCGAGGGATGGGCTGCAGTGTCCCTCCTAAAACATTTCTATAGTCTGACTGTGGTTGTCAATTCGTCTGGCAAGCGTGGCAACTACTGGCAAAACTCCCCATCTGGGAAAGGCTTATGTTCAGCAGTGGACGGTTAAAAGCTAATATGATATGATGATAAACTCTGAGGAGCTGAGATGCGAATGTTGAAATGAATGTGTGATGTGGCAAGAATGAACAAAATTAAGAATGAATTTATCACAGGAAGTATGAAAGTAGTACCAGTGATAGAAAAGTTAAAGAGTAACTGTCTGTCCTAGTATGGACACGGGAAGAGTATGTCTTAAGTAAGGTATTACGTATGAATGTGGATAGCTATAAGGGCGAAGGAAGACCTAAAAAGACATGAATGGATTGTGTGGAAGATGATATGGCCAGAATGGTAATGAATCTGGAAATGACTGCGAATATAGAAAAAGAAAGACACTGTGCCGATAAAATGTGGAATATGTCGCTGGGACTATAATAACGAATCGATTAATAGCACATTTATCAAATCTCATGAGTAGTTCAGGTGCTGCAGTGGAACTTCATTATCATATCAGCCGTAAAGTGCCCACTGCTGAATATAGGCCTCCTCCATAAGGGGGGATTTTTCCAGAAGTTGTCACGCTTAACAGACGAGTTAGCAATCGCAGTTAGGCTTTGGTGACGTTTTTAGAGAGACGCTGCTTCCTATCTTTCGATCATTAAATTGTCTCAGTTGTCTCTTACGATGGACTGTACTAAGGTAAATTCAAACATCATTGACTGTTAAAAATATAGCATTTCCTTTTGGCTTTGTCTTAGTCAGGTAAATAATCGCTCGCAAAGTGTTTGAGTGCATTGAAATTGCACTTTCGACTATGATTTGCGTTACTTCTTTTATATTTTGATAACCTTATACTCTATCTTCGATATTTTCAGTTATTGAACTTTTATTTGCGTCTTTACAAGTAATTATTGACTCCTCAGACTTCCATATAGGTAATTTAGTAATCTTAATTACACGCGTACTTTTAATAATTATAATGCAAATATATTTTTATCTTGTTATTGCTTTATTAATGTTTACATTTCATTTGTTATAGTTATCTTTCTCTTGGACTCGAGAAGATTCGGTGTCACTTCGTCATTCTCTGGTCTCGATTTCATGATTTGAATTTTATGTGTCTCTAGATATTTTTATGTAGATATATTTTTATTTTATTTTATTTTTATTTTTTGCCCGATATGCGTGGATTTTAGAAGTAGGGAAACTAATGAAATATACTTCTAGATGGTGTATTAAGATAACATATCTTCCTCAGGAAAACCGCAGTGAAGTGGTCGACTGGAGGAGAATGCTATATATATATATATATAGCATTAAGTCCGGCTTTTGTACCAAACATTTTTTTGTAGTGTGGTCAATAAAGTATAAATAAATAAAAATAAAACCATATCCAAATCAATACAGTAATTTTTGCGCGAGACTGGAATAAACACTCGTATAAGACAGGTCTGTCTGTCAATATTATAAGTCTGTCTGTAAATACAAAAAAAAATCTAAAAATTTTGATTTGGTTTTAGTTTGGTTTTAAGACAAGATACACAAAATAAAAAGGTTGGATTGGTTTGTAATATTTGGCTTTTTGTTCTATAGAATAATAGCTTGATCGTAATGTAGAATTAACCATCGTAATAGCTCCCAAACTACGCCTCATTATGTTATGGCAGTTCTTATAGTGATTGTTGTCGTCGCCTTGAACTTTTTTGTCCAACCGGTTTGCTGAGTTGGTAATCAATCCTACCTTACTATCATACTATGATAATTATGGTAATCGACGAAGTCTTTTATCCTTAAAATCCCTTCATATATTCGTCTATACACTATAGTGGATCCTTTACCGTCCATGCTGCTAGATCGTGGAATTCTCTTCCTATATCTATACTCGTACATGAAAGTCAATCCCTAAATATTTTTACGATTTCTTTTCTTATTATTTTCTTTAATGTTTTACGTTATTATTCCAAACTTGCTTAATTATATAATATTGTCGTACCTACTTGTACAACAAATAGTCCGTTTACAAGTTTTAATTTTACAATATTTACAACAAGATTTACAATCAATTAATTAAAATAGATTGAATGTTTCGATTTCTTACTATTTTTTTTTTAATTAAGTAGTATTAAAACCGACTATACTTTATCGTAGCACGAAACGATATCCTACGATTTTATCGTCACAATATAATAGAAACGTAAATTTTATGCTATTTTGTCAAGACATATTATGCCGCGATACAATATTATTAATTTTTAGTATATGAACTGTATCTAGGGATTTTAAACTTTACACATAATTACCTAATGTGGCATAAAAGACAAAGAAAAGGGGTTCAATTTAAAATTTGAAATAAATAATAAATTTCCTGTAAGCAAAACTACTGTAGATATCTTCTAATCTTATTTTGTCTGACTTCAAAGGCCCTTTGATCATTTTTAATTTGAAATTAATTAAAATACTATTGTTGCAATATTTGAGACGGTATGGTTATTCAATTCTGTTGGCTGATCCTTACCACTCCAGGCTAGTGTCAAAAGTCAACGCTCTGTAAATAAAAGAACAAAGGGGCATCTGTACTCGAACCGCATAAATACATAATCTGGTTCATTTGGATAATGTTATTCGCGCGTTGTCGCGCAGTTGGTTCTCGGTTACCTCGCTTATCGTACATTACACATGTGCGATTGATTTATTTTTAAATTATATTCGAGAGTGATTACCGATTAAGGTGTTCAGTGCCCATCCCTAGTGTGTGAACGTGTTTATTATAATTTTTTTTATTTTGTGTTGATTATACTGTGTTCTATTTTTAATTTTTAAATTTTAATATGTGGTTGTGATTGTAGTGAATACTTACAGTATCATTAAATTGCAAAGGGCGTATAAGTGTTTTAGTTCTGCAATAGTAGGCGTGAATAGTTTTGGCGCGTTTTTTTGGCAACCGTTACAGACAGAACACATAATAGAGAAATGCGCATGTCGTAAGTAAACATTTTGAATAATTGTGTTGTACCTAGACTAGCTACGCTCGTGGATTGACTTATTGATTGAATGGAATAAAAAGTATCTTATTTTCTTATAAGTACGTCCTTCATGAAATATTTACGGTTTATGTCACATAGAGTTTGGTTCTATTGTCAAACTGATACGACGTAATAAATAAACTTAATAATTCCTTAACAAACACCTCTCTATATTCTATAATGGAGTTTGATCCCTCCTAGTAAACAGTAATAGTTCATGCTTCACTCGAACGTTACTGAGTTTGGCTAATATCTGCTCATTTATGTAGTACAAATAATATTTTATTCAACGCTCTGTCATTTTGCCGTTTTCTTCGTATGAAGTGACAAACAAACACCAATTCTAATGTCCAAAATACAATTGATTTTAATTATGACCGAATTAGTAAAGGACCAACAGTATGTTTATGCGTGATGTTGTTTGTATAACACATTTTTATATTTCCGTTGAAATGTAGTTCTCTATGTAGAGCGTGTACTAAGTTTTTATCAAAATTCGTCGAGTACATTTGCCTAATGTATACACAGGCCAGTAGAAAGCGCTCAGCCGATTTTAATGAAATTTTGTGAGTATTGTTTGCTCCAATTTAAGCGATAAGACAGTTTTTATTCCGATAAGAAAATATGACTCGGTAAGTGGTAGTCTGTACAAAATAACGGGTCAATATTTTATTTATTTATTTTAATATCTTTACAGGATATAATGTCTGGCTGTTATAGTCTAGGTTATAGGCTATGTTTATAATTATGATTATGGTGTGATTACTCCCATTAGTAACAAATATGTTGCTGTGTATCTCATTTATTAGCAAGTCTGATTGGATACCTTATACTCGTATAATACGTCATCATCACCATCATATCAGCCATTAACTGTTCACCGCTGAACATAACTTTGCTCTAATTTAGAGGGTTTGTCAATAGTTGCCACGACTGGCAGGCTGGTTGGCAATCGTAGTTAGGTTTTGGTGATGTTTTAAGAGGTACGCTGATGCCCATCCGTCGACCATTAAGTACTCTTAGTAGCCTCTTATGACAGACGCGGGAAAGGAAGAATACTTATATTTTCTATATTCAATTTGCATTTAGTAAGCCGATAATAGTTTTAAAAGTTTTTTTTTTTAAGATATTTTATAGATTACTATGTACTTAAATGGAAAAAGATTAAAATATAATTCAAATAATAACATTATCATTGTTCGTATTTTGTCGATAAGGTCGATGGTGAGGTCATATGATAAACCACCTTGCTGACGATATCAATTCGATAAATTGGGGTCTTATTATGAGAGCTTAAAACCTGTCAGTTTCACAGATTAAAATGACCTGTCCTGAATGTCGCTAGCAGGAGTATATTTTTTATGATATATTTTTATTTATTTATGTATTTATTATCGTTAACCAAAATCAAAATAACAAATAGGCATGCCAAAAATCACAGAGGCTTGTCTGGAATGCCATACATTCTGCTTTTTTTTTATTTCTATAACCAGTGGCGTAGCTACCGGAGGGCTAGACGGGGCAGTGCCCCGAGAACCCCAAGCTCAGGGAGCCTCCCTCCAAGCTAGGGGAATTCCCAACAAGTCTCATCTTTGTTTGAAACTTGTGGGGAACCCCCCTGTATTCTCATGCTGGTTTCACAGTCGCGCCGTCGATCAGCGCGTTTCAACAGCACGCACTTGACGATTAGAGATGGGCAATCCACCTGGGTGGGTTTAAAGTCTGGTGGGTAAAAACCGGGTGTTTTGGGTTTATTGGGTTTAAACCCCATAAACACCCAAATTTTTGGGTGTTTATGATTTTGTACTTCATCATCGTCATCTCAGCCGCAAGACGTCCACTATACTGGACATAGACAATATTATTATGCAGCCTACAGAATAAAAAACTTTTAATTTGATTTTGAGTTTATTAAGAAAGAGATGAAAGTAAAATGTAAAACTACAGTCAATCACTGTCAGATTCAGAGTTATTACAAGCGATGAATTGTATAGGTTCGATAGGCTCTATTTCGTCTAAACTGTTATGTTGATTTACTTGCTCAATGAAAGCTTCTAAGGTATTTTCTTCATTAAACTGAATGTCCTCGCATTCAGCTTTATGTTTAAGATTCCAGTTATAACAAATGAATGAAATTTTTTCAGTTCTTTCAGTTGTAAGTCGATTTCTTTTGTTATTATGTATGTAGCCTTGGATACTAAAGGAACGCTCAGTGGCTGCCGAAGTACAGGGAGCTGATAGAATACGAATCGCTACTTTGCTTAACTCAGTGGAACCACAAATACCTTTCCACCATATTAGGGGCTCAATGCTATCTAATGAGCTCCATACAAATCCTCTGGCCCAAAAGTTTTCTTTAGCTTTATAACACGCCAAATCTGCCATTACATTTGACAAACTTAAGTGTTGGCTTAAATTGTAGATAAACTCCATACCCTTAAGTTCTTCCTCTTGAGTAAGTTCGACTCCTAGAGTCCTGGGGTCTAGAATATATGCTGCAAAATGTATTGGCCTCATTGCCATATTGCATCTTGAAGATACTGATGTTAGAATCTGCTGTTTGCTTTCTTCGCTCAATGTCGAAATCTCATTTAATGCAAAACGTATCTTAGCTTGTACATCTCTAAATGTAATGTATGTGCGATGCAAACGATTCTGGTCGCTCTCTAAGTAAAATATGCTTTCAGTGACTGGTTCCAAAATACTTATACATTCCCCTGTCTTCGTCCAGAAATCATCACTTAGAATTAAATCTTTAATATCTCTTGAAATTACCACATCTTCTCTAACTGTTAATATTTGCAAAGCTATCTTATTTGCTTTCAAACTTTTTAACGAAGTAACATGACTTCCCCATCTTGTAGCACAAGGCAATTTTAGTGTTTGTGTAGAATCTTCACCCTGCCTTGATTTTATCAACAAGGAACTTAATCGTTGACTCCTTTTAACAGTTTTTATTATATTTATGGCTTGCATAATAAACACAGTTACTTCTTGTATCTTTACAATATCTTGGCACAACAAGTTAAGGATATGTGCACAGCAACCGAGAGGAACAACATGTGGATATTTGAGTTTTGTTAATTCGAATGCCTTTTGTATATTTCTAGCGTTATCGCCAATAAGTACAAGAAACTTATTTGCTCCATACACTTTCATTACTTTTTCAACTTCTTGGCTAAGGTATTCACTAGTGTGAGGATTACTTTCTGTATTCAAACTTTTAACGTATGCAGGTTGAGGTTTTGATATAAGAAAGTTTATTATTCCTTCATTTCTTAAATTAGACCAGCCATCGCACTGAAGGTGTAAGTAACTACAAGCATTTAGTTCCTCATTTAACTCAAAACGCATTTCTCTATATATTTTATCTAAGTATTTTGTCGCTAAAGCTTTACGTGAAGGTATTTTAAATTTTGGTTGCAATTTTTCGAAAAATTGTATCCATAAAGGATGTTGCACCATCGATAATGGCGTCCCTGTTACAAATATAGCTCTCGCTAATTCTGTTTTTATATGATCATCGGTGTCTTGAAACTCAGCATTTATTGTAGTGTTAGCAGACGACGAGGGGCTTATAAAAGAATCATTTGTCTCTATCTCTGACAGTCCAGACATTTTGGTTTTGGACGAGCTATCTTTTATAAGTTTCATAGAGTCTTTTAATGTTTCTGGAGATTTTGGACAAGTGATAAGATGTTGAAGCATTTTGGCAGCATTACTGAATTTGTAGACCTTATTACAAAGCTTGCAAGAAACAGACTTGTTTGGTAAAGTACGGTAGTGCTCCCATATGCGTAAATCTTTAGGTCTCCCCATTGAACCTAAAAAAATGAACGATGATTAGTTGGTCTGACGAAAATTCAACAATAGAGTGCCTATTTTTTTACAATGATTATTTCTTGTTATTTACAATAAATTTATTAAAAAAATAATAAAATAAATACAAAAAACCTTTGTAAAATTACATCTCCTCGGAGGATTAAACGCAGACGCTAGTTTATTATCGTATTGTTCTGTATTTTTCTCAGCAACTTCTTTAATTCGATTAGGTACTTACGCATATTATGTTAAAAATAAATATCTAGTACACATCTTAGGCTATCCACCATTATTATCCAATGACGACTCTCAGCTAACTATGCACTATCATCCAAAATAAACGTGTATGGAAAATTTTATCCCAGTCGGTTGAGGATTGAGGATAATTGCATCAACATACGAACATACCTACATACTTTTATTTACATAACGCAAGCTAAATAAAAGCTTGTAATAATACATCTAATTTTAAGTTAAAATTGTTAAGTGATCATGATATAATTGTATCATTCAAAAATCCACTTACCTTTAATTATTTCTTGTTAAGTATAAATATTATTTCAAATCTGCTCCCTTAATATGCACTTTTTTACTGCTTTTCCTACCTAACACGTTACCAGGAAGTCACGTTACCAGAGTCAGAGTAATAGTGAACACGTTTGACAGTGATTGTCGTCGCCTCATATTCAGCGTCGACGAATAGGGGAATCCCCAGTCATAATGTATTGCATGCGTGGCGGTCTTACTTCAAATCCATAAACAAAGAGATAATTACAGAACTCGATACTAGATGGCGCTGTTTTTGTTTGAAGAAAGTTTGCGGGCTAAAATACATAGAATTTCATCAATGACTTCCACAAAGAACAACATTTCTGTTTTTTCTAAGTCCGTATCTCTTCCGTATATTTCATAAGATATAAGCTTGGGCTACATTGTTATGCAACGTGATTTTGTCGCTGTCTTGCTAGCAGGGTTGACAGATATACGATTTAAATCGTACTCATACTATTATTTGTCTATTTTTTAATGTACGATCGTAAAGATTATGATCGTAATTCGCACAAAAACATACGACTTTTTGGTTACCTGGCAACATTTTTATTATGAAACGAACATGCTCACATCATCAGTCACATGCAACAATTTATTGGGGATTTCCCCTTCACATCTGGCAGTCCTGCTTGCTAGAATATAGGTAAGTCAGCCACAGTTACTGACGATCGATATTTAAAGGGTATTGTTTTTGTGCTAAATATTTCATAAAAACGTTATTTAATACTTTGTGGATTATTAATTTAGTTGATAATCACTGGAAGTAAAATGGATGCTAATTTGAGAGATCAAGATCTTCGTATAAAACAGTTAATAAAAGAAAATCTACGTAAGTACTCTTTTTATACCTAGGTAGGTAAGGTATAATAAACACAAAAGGTACTTAGATCGCGTGTGTTCGAAGCATTTATTCTAATAAATTTAATTTAAAATTGTAGAAAGAAAAAAATGTCTGCCAAGCCGTAGCCGAAGCCGATCTCCAAATATATTTGGCGATAGTGAGACCCAGTGTCCAGATGATTTACCCAGCGTCGTCGCAACAAAGAAAAAAACGAGGATAAAGTAAAAGAAAATTTACTGAAAGAAGAAACAAACTGTTCTAAATGCTTAATTTATGGAGAAGAGGATAAAAGAAATGAGTATTTCGGACTGTTAGTGGCTCAAGAATTTAAATATATACGGCCATGTGTGCGAACGAGGTGTTATGAAGAAATTTTAAAGTATCTACGGGAAGCAAAAGGCCAACATGTTGATCAACTGCAACATGAAAACACTGAAAATTAATTACTTTCATTTTATTATATATAGATTTTTAAAATTTCCTGAAATATTATTAGTTAACGTTTTATTTAATATTGTAGAATTGATCAATACAATTTATAAAAATAATTTATTGGTATTACTTACATATTTTCAAAAAAATACGTAAAAACCTATTTTTTTGGGTGATTATGGGAGTTTATGGGTGTTTATTGGGTTTTTACCAAAGCACCGGGTTTAAACCCGGTGCTTTGCCCATCTGTATTGACGATAAATCTTGATTACGACAAATTTGGAGTACGTCGAATTCGGAACACGACGCATATGGAACAAACGATTTTAAATAGTTTAGTTGGGGCTTTAGTTTAATTTTTGCTAGTTTTTTTTAGTTTTTTCTATAACGTTCGAATACAAATTTATGTTTATATAATTACATGAAATCATATATGTTCTGACTGACTCATACACTCTGATATGCTCAGACTGCTCAAATATATAGATCGCCCACCTTGTGGAAAGTGGTAATCGTCGCCAATGGCCATGAGTAGTGCCATGGGCATCACAGAATACATTTAGACTTCTGTGGTGTTCGTCATGCGTTGCCATTCCTGAGGACTATAGAGTTTTGCCTCTGTATCCTGTAATGTCACTGCTATCTGCTTCCATAGAATATATTATGTCGAGTAGTTCCAGCATAGTATAGGTTACCCTTCCTTTCCCATGGGTGTCGTAAGAGGCGACTAAGGGAACGTAATAGTCGCAGGTTGGACAACAGCGTTCCCTTTAAAACAATACTAAAACCTACTGCGGTTGCCAATCCGCCCGCCAAACGTGGTAACTATATAAACTTCCCTAATTTTCTATGTTCAACAGTGGACCATGATGATAATGATGATCCTGTAATTTTATTGCTTTATTTCTTCATAGAATTTTATTTCGAGTATGCTTCTCTTTTTTTTTTAACGGTGATAATGGAATGGTTACCCTACTTCCACCATTAGTTTTCCTTTCGAGGCACAAGTGAGGGATGGTAGATGAACAGTTTTATCATTATAGAGGTCGCGTGGAGGTCGACCTGCAGTCGCATAAGTAATTTTATCAGTCGGTTCAGTAGTTTAGTTTTTAAATCAAAATAATCGGTTTTTGTCCCAATTGAAGTATTTTTGGGGGACACAATCTTTAATTATATTTCCTCAGTTGCCTAACGCTCTAGAGGTGCCATACTTCTTTACTTCGTCACCACAAGTAAAGGTGAAAAATTATGTTTAAATAATAAAAATATAAATGTGATTTACGTAATAAGAAAAATAGACAATGCAACTACCTATCATATAATTTGTAATGATACGTCAGAAACGTGGCGTGATCTTAGAACCACACTGTTTTTTTTTATGTAGCAATAAACTCCTTGTCAATAAAACAGATGTTCGTATTGGGTGCTAGTAAGAACGGTGGACTCATCGTGACTATTTCACTGGTCATCATCATCTCGGCCATTATCTACCATTGCTAAACATAGACCTCCCCATGGACTGCCATAAGGAACGATCCTGAGCTAGGTAGCTCCACTGGTGCATCCACTGATTCCCTGCAAAGCGTTTGAGATCATCACTCCATCTACTGGGGTTTATCCTGCATTGCGTTTGCCCGTGCAGAGTCGCCACACAAGAACCTTTCTTCCCCATCGGTTGTCGGTTCTTCGAGCTACATGACCGGCCCATTGCTACTTCAGAATAGAATAGAATAGAAACATTTATTGCCAGTAAACAAACAATTATAATATAAAATATAAATTACATATACTAGGCAAAAGGAACCGGCTCAGCTGATGCTGTGAGTGTCCCAGCGCAATGTGAACAGCTGCGTAGCGCTGGATTTTAGCCAGTTCCTCTCTTAACAAAACATAACCAAAGTGTAGGGTACCACTGTAAAAACTTCAGCTTCGTTATCCCTCGGTCTGTTGGTCACTTTCTTTTTTTTTTGTAGATTTTCACTTGTAGCCAACCACTGATTCGATTGTATTCGATCTAATTTTTATTTATCAAATAATAAAATATTCGAATTTCAAAATAGGCCGATTCGAAATATCACTGATTTCTGTTATTCCATATATATATATATATATATATATTCCAAATATATTAACATTTTGTAGTTTTCTTTCGCCTTCTTAGAGGTTGACTGTAAGAGATCCCTTTATGGCATAAGTTCGTTATTGTATGTTAAATCCTCTTAATTAAGACATTCAATGTAAAGTATGTACAATATGTATGTATGTATGTCTATAATATGTAATATGTTTGTACATCGGAAACTAGATTATTGGAACACAATTATATTTTCGAGTTGATAAATATGAACGCTATCAGTTTGTGTTCATTTCAAATATGTTACCAGTATTTTCCTGTTTAATATAATTACAATACTCGTAGTTTTTTTTTTTTTTATTATCAATAAAAATACAAGTTACAGAATTTATGTTACATTAGCATTCAGAAACCACGTAGGTTTATATTAATACTAAATACATTAAAATTATTTAAATTGTATTAAAACCTTTATTATTAAAACGTTAATTATTAATTTGCATTTAATTTAATTAACGATGCTGTTATAAATATTTTGATCTTGAACTGTCCACCACACACAAGTAATCGATAGATATACGTGTATGTACTTAGTTTTCCTCTCAGCCATTTAGAAATTTTGTGTTTATCCTATTTTTTATATAACTAGCAATGGTAAATAGACGGATGGGAAGTGGTAACTGTCGTCGTAACTAAACTAAAATGAATAGCACCTGACATGCTTGAACTGCAGCAACATTAACATTATTTTATTTATTAATAAATCAACCTGACTTTATGGACCCTCATTGTTATTGTTTCTTTCATCCATATACTTACATTATTTATATACATCCACTCTAACTTGCCTACCTTGCTTTAGAATTATAATTTTCGTTTATATAATTAAAATCCATTATTGGCTGTATTTATAAGAGACTTAACATGTTTTAAGAGCTGTGGATTTTTGTATTAAATAAATTACAGAAACACTGACTGGCATTTTCCTATTTTGAGGTTTAATGTATTATATGGTGCCCATTGTAGCTATGCTTACAATATCCTCTTAATGATTAACTAGTTTCAACGATAGTCTCGTTTACCGTCAGATGGACAGTATTTTTTTTTTTTTATACCACTCAGTTGGCAAATGTTTGTTTGTCATCATGGTAATATAAAAAAAAACTAAACAGTTGATTATTAAAAAATAAATTAGACACAAAAGAATTGGATTGAACAAATGACTGTATTCTGTAATTTTGCTGTTCACGTGTATAGGCGACAGTTACCACCTTCCATAAAATGAGCCGTCAGGATATAGTTACAGATCGGCACCATAAAATATTATCAAAATTGGATCAGTACTTTTATATCAATTTTTTTTAAATCAAACGGATTTTGTCACAATTGAAGTTATTTTTTTTTTAATTTTTTGTGGGACATAATCCTTAATAAAGTAAATTTTTATCACCCGATAACTTCTTTTATAATAAAAGTATGAGATATCAAATTCTTTCGGATTATTTATTAGTAGTTTTTATGATATACAATTTGGATTTTTATCTATGACTCACGATGGTCTGTGACTCATAAATAAATAGTATCTATCTAGGTACTTAAATGCAAGATCGATGATAGGAACTAAGCTTTTTAAATTCCAGATAAATCTCCAAAATGTAGATGTAAAGAGCACTTTTATAATTTACCGTATCACGACACGATGTTTACGTACGATTTTATCGTCACGACATAATAATGGTAAAGCAAAATGTATGCAATTGTATCAGGACACTAAAAAATTTCTGGGGCAATTTTTTTTTTTTATTATTTAATTCGAGTACGTTTCATCACAGTCACCTGATGTTAGGTGATTATTATTATTGCTATAGACTTGCACGATATATCGCGAATATGCTCGGAAATTTAGAATCGTCTCAATACAATTGCATACATTTTGCTCTCCTATTATATCGTGACGGTATACTTCTATGATATCATATCGTATATAGGACGAAATTGAAATTATTGGCGTCATTTTAAAGGAGCTTTTTAAAAGTGTAACATAATGTTTTTTCCATAAAAATACATTAAAAAGTTAACACTCTTTCAATGTTATAACATTAGTAAGGATAAGGGTATATAGAAATTTCTATGGTGTTATATCTAGTGGTTTACCATAAAATGAAATTCCGAAATTTCGGGCTCAATTTCGTGTTTTTGTTCGTATCAAAATCGACCCAGTAAATGGACCTTAATATTTCGTTCATCATAAATCCTATTCTAATAGTCCAGAGGAACGATCTTTTAACATTTTTAATGATTTAAAAAAAGCATGTTTTATGTAATTTTAACATCAAATTTCTGTTTCGTTCGTCCTCGAAATTTCGGAAATTACTTCATGGTAGACCCTCTGGTTACAGACGACGGTTATTATTATGTAGAACACAGATGACTGTCCATATTTTTTCCGGTTACTATACTACTTTTCATGCATATGGGCTGTCAGCTTGTTTCTCATTAGTATGAAATAAATATACAAAGAATTACATACAATGGAAATACTTGTATAATTTTACATTAAATTTTATTAATTTTGCATACATATTATGCTCTTACTTGAAAGCTGTATTCTCACGTTCTACTTTTGATTTTAGAATAGGTTTTCAATTCACCTTTTTTTTTCATGCGACTCTCTCCCATTAGTTTTTCTACCGTGAAGCACTTATTTTCGGTAAGCAAATAAAGTATTACTATTATTAACAAACAAAAAAAAAAAAGCCCTGTGGTACCGGCATAGAATAGGCCACCCCCTTTTTTCCCGTGGGTACTGTAAGAGGCGATTAAGGGAGGGCGAGGAATGGGCAGTAGCGTCCCTCTTAAAACATCTCCAAAGCCTAACTGCGGTTGCCAATCGTGACAACTACTGGCAAAACCTTCTAAGGGGGAGGCTTATGTTTAGCAGTGGACAGTTAAAAGGCTAATATGTTGGTGATGATGTTAAAAAATACCACTGAATAGAGAATTCCCTACTTTTTTGAAGTCGGTTTAAAGACGTGCAGTATACTTATTCAACGACTAGCCAAACCAACTGGTCGTAATAACAAATTAACCTACATACGTCGTCCGTTTGTTTGTAAATATCCCACATGTTAATCAATACAAAAATTGAATAAACACAAGGGCATGCTGTGTAGACTCACTGTGTTGGTATTTTTACCCAGCTCTCAAATAAAGTAGGGTAATGTTTTTTAATGGGCAATACTTTTCAACCGACTTCAAAAAGAAGGAGGTACTCAATTCGATTGTATTTTTTTTTATATTTGTTTTCTCATAACTCCGTTAGTTCTTTGGAGACCGATTTGGGGAATTTTTCTTTTTGTCTGAAAGGAGATACAATTACAGATTGGTCCCGTAGAAATTTTATCAAAATCGATTCAATAGTTTAATTTTTAGACAAAAATAACTAGTTTTATTACAATTGAAATTGTTTTTAGGACGCAATCATTAATTATCTTATGGGTGAAAATGGAATGGTAACCCCACTTTCGCTTTCGGTATACGTTAGCAGGGAACCGAGATATTCAACGTGACGAATTTGACAAAAAATAACCACGGTGGTTTCCAGGTTGGACCGCTTGGAGGTCGACCTGATAGGGTATATTGCTAACAATAGGCTGTTTACTTTAACGAGATTTTAACGATATGCTCTTGAAAAAGGACTGTATATTTTACGAAATAATAAGCGGTCGCTGCTAGTGGTAGAGAAAAATATAATAAATGAATCATGACATTGTCAGATATCGAAAAACAAAATAAAAATATAAAATTTAAAAATATACTCTAAAAAGGTGCGTTCTGCACATGTAGACGCCATTACTAGTCTACTCCCTTCCCCTTCTCGTCGATGGGCCGTCAGATTTTTTGTTTGAAAGGGCATACTTATAGACTGGTCCCGTAGAAATTCTATTAAAATCGGATCATTAGTCTAATGTTTAAGACAAAATAACTGGTTATGCCGCAGTTGAAATCTTTTTTTTTATGAAACGTATATTTAATTAAGTATGTACTAACTTTTTGTCTTGTAAATTTAATAAATTTTAAGTATGCCTTTGTATACGGAAATAGAGCTCTGTTGATATTGCCAGAATTTGCGCGTTCGACGATAAATTTCAAATTTAGTCGTTATCACCTTGAACTTAAGACTGCATCGATTTTATGGCTTATACAAACACAAAGCCTTTGATCTTTTCCCCATTGACTAACGGTCATGGCAGTGACGTTATTGAAACATGTTTACAGTACTGTACATTCGAAGGACACGGCCGTAAAGTACGTGAGGTCGAATATAGTGAAGACATTATTCGGCCGTCGGGTGTCAAAACGGTCTCAAAAATGTTAGCTATCATTTCTTATTTCTTTTTATACCACTGAGGTGGCTAATAAACATACAGCCCACCTGATGGTAAGTGGTACTTTAGCTTATCATCATCATCATCATATCTGCCTTGAACTGTCCATTGCTGGCCATAAGCCTCCCGTTGGGAGATTTTGCCAGTAGTTTTTGTTTTTTGTTTATACAACTTAGAATGGCAAACAAGCTGACGGCCCACCTGATGGAAAGTGGTAACCGTCGCCTATAGACATGAGCAGTACCATGGACATAACAGAGTATACTGTTTCGCCTATGATACTTCCCTTGCGTTGCCATTCCTGAGGTCTCAGGTGTTATTCCTCTGTACCCAGTAAATTCACGCCATATCCCACCCTTCAAACCGAAACACAGCCATGCAAACACAACTGCTTCACGGTTGAAACACGAATGGGACAGAGTAGTTGTCACATTTTGGCAGGCGGATTGGCAACCACAGTTAGGCGTTGGAGATTCTTTAAGAGGTACGCTGCTGCCCATCACTCTCCTTGTCTATTCTAGGGTGGTCTATTCTATGCCGGGACCACACAGCAACTGTATTGTACTATAGTTTATAAACGCCTGCAAACCAAGGGCATTGCACGCGTTGTCGACCCTTAAGATACTTTTTATATCAATACGACATGTTCTGACTCCATCGTTCTTTGTCTGATGTTTTGTTTTGTTACACTGTATGAAAATTTGAAAGTAACATTTATATTTTTACGTGACATGAAATAACCAACACGGAAGTAAACCCGTGTTCGTCTCATATAAATTTGGGCACGATTGGATAGCAGTTTTTTTTTTATTTGCGCAGTAATCTTAAATCCTTACTAATATTACAAATGTAAAAGTGATTTGTTTTATTTCATTTTAACCCATAAACGGCTTAACCAATTACTATGAAATTTGGTATATACGTTCTATAAGCGATGGAGAAGAATATAGGCTACATTTAATCAGTTTAAAGTTAGATATGAATAAACACAATAATTTTATGGAAATTAGACTTAACTAGTGAATAAATAAGGATCATTTCTATTCTAACATTTTTGGCGTTTACGTTATAATTAGTACTTAAATAGTCACCGGACGTGTAATAATAGAAAAGCGTGCGTGGTTCACTGACCTCGCTCTCACATCTCGTTACATAAAATCGTGGTTATAGGTAATGTCAGCAAATGCTATACTGAATAGTGCATGGTCATACTGAACGAAAAAGGATTTTATCTGTGTAGTTATACAGTCAATAATCGAGTGAAGAGGCTTGATGGAAATGGTTGATGCAACCGGAGGAAAGTTGCAAATAGAGTATGTAAAACAGCGGAATAGTGAAGTGAAATTGATGACAATTGGTTAAATAGATAACTTGACGTAAGATATGTCGCGGTGTCCTATCCTTGTTTATATACTAGCAATTCGGCCCGGTTTCACACGTGTGGATAAAATTTTCGAAAATAATATATAGCTCATGTTACTTGTTTATAATGTAGCTTTCTATAGGTGATAAAATTTTGAAATCGATTGTGTAGTTTTCGAGTTTGTTTATTACAAACAAATATATGAATTTCCTCCTTTGTAATATTCGTATAGAATAGTAATCTACTGCGTGTTCGCACGAGTAGATAGAGGTAGTATTTAAATTTTTTTAAATAAAATACAGTCCTTGTCACTCGCTTATAGTACACTATAAAATATAAATGTATAGCTTTCCATAAGTTAAAAAGAAATATTAAAATCGTCTAAGTATTTGTTTTAACTGACTTCAAAAAGAAGGAATAAATCCGTCAGTTGTGAACTGATTTGGAAAATTCTTTTTTATCTAAAAGGATATGCTTACAGATTGGCGCCATAGAATTTTTATCAAAATTGCTTCAATAGTTTAATTTTGAAATCTAAATAACTGGTTAAGTCACAATTGAAGTCGTTTTTTTTTAAACACTTAAATCATTACTCTCTCAGCCTCCAAGGATACCGTGGTTCATATACTTAAAAGCAAATAGAAATTCGGTTGTTACAAATCTTAGATTACGCTCAGGACATTATCCAAATGCAAAATTCGCTTTGCTTATAAAAAAAGTTAATAATCCGAATTGTGACGTTTGTAACACATTGGATGATGTTCACCATATGATATCCGAATGTACGAAATACAAAACACAAAGGGAAGTATTGATACAGAAATATAGTCTCAATAGACAGGAGATTGGTTTATTTTCAAATATACTCGCAGAGCCACATTCCGGAATGGCAAAATCTTTAATTACTATATTTTTGTATCAATAATTCCCTTTATCAAATAGACTACTAAGATATTATGTATTATTTATTTATGTATTAATGTTTTAAGTATGTGAGGTATTTTTTAAAATTAAGGTATGATGAGGCTGACATATCCTTATAGGATTAAAGCCTCTAAATACAAAAGATAAAAAAAAACTACTCTTTTCCATCCAAAGGTTGGCTGAAAGAGATTGCTCTTAGCGATAAGGCTCACTGTTTTCTTAGTCTAATATTTTCTTGTAATTGTTTGTATCTATCGTTTACTATTGTAATCTTATGGAGGAAACAATATAGAGTATCTACTTACCTATCTATCTATCTATCTATCTATGAATATTATCCATTACAAACAAAAAAATTAATCTTTCTTCTCGTAATATTAGTATAGATGACTCAAAAATATTTGAGTATCATTCTTTACTGACGTCTTCGTCCGCATGGCCTGGATATGTTGACCGGGTTAAAAATAAGCCTTGTGTTTCTCCATCCCAAATACTGTGTGTATATCAAATTGCATGACGTTTGGTTGACCCGTTACAGCGCCATTAGGTAATGAACTAAGAAACGAGAACACCCGCACTGGTAATTTATAAAAGTTATTTTTTTTAATTCATCCGACCGAGAATTGAGTCTAGACCTCGTTTACGCAAAGCAATGTGATGAACATGTTTAGTATAACGACTGCTTCCTAAAATTAATATTATTAACATATTGTATATACACAGGAATCTTCAACTGTTTCTTAAAAACAGCGATTTCAATAATCTTAACACTAGATACAAATATAAACTTGCTGTTCCGAAGTATTGTTTAGAAAAAGTTAATAGATCTTTTATGAGAATGCGTATTAAATGTTATAATAAGATACCGAAGGATATTTTGGATCTAGCTTTTAATAAATTTAAAACTGTTATTAAAAAACACTTATTGAACAAAGGCTATTTATTACACATTAAACGATTACTTGAATGACAAACGTGCATGGTGTTAGTCGATCATGTACAGACTGTTTAATGACCATGTAATTTTAGACATAGTCATAGTCATAGACTTAGACATAGTCATACATTTAAATAAATATATTTGAACATATATGCGTTAACAGAGATTTAAAAAAGTAACTCTTGAGTTTCTTGTGGACTTTTCTCAACAGATAACAACTTTTCGAAACCTGCAATAGATTTAAAAAAATATATTTAAAAGTGCTTGAAACTAAATCTATTTGAATTAAGATAAATTGAATTTGAATTATAACTACTATATAGTTGCAAGTAACAGTTATACTTTCCATCTGGATGGCCGTCAGCTTGTTTGTCGTTTTGAGTTGCTAAAAAAATAATAAGAAAATCTTTATGGTGGATTTATTTTTGTAACAACAATTAGTTTGTGACCATCCTTACTAATATTATAAATGTGAAAGTGAATTTGTTTGATTTTTTTTATTTATAGCGTCTTAACGGCCTAAAATCGGTATAAAATCTGTTATGTCCATTGTACTGTTCATGTCTATAGGCGACGGTTACCACTTTCCATCAGGTGGGCCATCAGCTTGTTTGCCATTCTAAGTTGTATAAAAAAAACGTACTATAGGGAGGCAAAAGGATATAGTCCACTTGTTATCGTGATCAAGCCTCAAAAAACGAGTCAACTTTTTGTCAGCTAATTGACAAATTAGCTGACTCGTTTTTTTTACCAGTGTTCTATATACTTGATGTATTATTTAATAAATAAAATAAGTGTTTAATCATAAAAAAAAGATGCAAAAATTATTATTATATATAGAAGTTATAAAGGAATTACTCGATAACTATTTATCAAAGAATATATATATTCTTTATTGCACTTGTAAGTTACATATAAAATAATCTATTTATAAATGTTGTGAGCAAGGGTGGACTTATCTCTGACAGAGATCTCTTCCAGTCAACCCAGTACAGTAAGAAAGCATTTCGTTAGCGGGCAGCTGAAGTGCTACAACTTATTATATTAATACACTATTAATACATAAACAAATATACAGTTAAATAAAATATTACATAAATACATACACTATAAATACATATAATACCTACCTACTTATGAAAAAGTTGATTAGTTTTTCTCGAAACATTTCTATGGAGACTATCTATATAATCTAAGAGTAAAATATATCTCGTTTACGCGCACTAAGTAGCGGATAATAGGATGTTATATATATATATATATATATATATATATATATATATATATATATATATATATATATATAACAACGAAAACATGTAAATATTGTCAACTGTCAGCTAATGAACGTCAATCGAAGGACACGTAATACGCACAACGGCGATAAGAATATACATATATAATGATAATAATTGCTGTTGCAGTAATTATATTATTATAGAATTTAATGCGTACTAATATATACGCGTGATATCACAATTATCTATAATCATCATCATCATCATCTATATATTATACTAGCGGCCCGTCTGCGTAGGTATACACCGGCGGGGCACTAATGAATTCCCCATTTCATCCCATGGGTGTCGTAAGAGGTGACTAAGATTTAATTATCGAAGGATGGGCAGCAGTGTTTGTCTTAAAATGTCACCAAAGTCTAACTACGGTTGTCAATTCACCTGCCAAGCGTGGCAACTACGGACAAAACCTCCCAAAGAGGAGCAGCGGTTATGTTCATCATTGGCCTGTTAACGGCTGATAATTTAATGATAATGATTTTTTAAATTAGGATATAATTTATGCATGTAGTAAATCTCATTTTATTAGTAACTTGCATTCTCTCATTCCATAATAAAATTATTAAAAAGCTTAGTATTAATTAATATATTCTTTCATTGTTACAGCTCCAAGAAGCGACGGTCACCGTCGCTGACCATAAGATGCGTTCGCTTCTAGCGTACTACGCTGAAGCTGTTATGTCGGCGGCGGCACGCGGCGCCGGCTGTGCGCTCAGCTGCAGTGGGCGCGGCGACTGCATGAACGGGACCTGCCTGTGCGAGATACGCTATGCGGGGGACGAGTGCGCCGCCCCTAACATGCCGTACCATGCGTGTGAGTACTAACTACTCCCCCCCCCTCACGACTCCCTCTAAAATGATTACAAGGTTAGGTTTTGGGTGCATTATTTTTTGATGGCTAAAAATTAATTGCGAGATAAGAAATGGGGATGAAAGCAGGCTTGTTGGCTTATCATGACTATTACCAGAGAGAGACTATGTACAAAAGTTGTTTGCTTGGGTACCTCTGTCCCATTCGTGTTTCTACCTTGAAGCAGTTGTGTTTACATTTTTTTTTACACAACTGGCAAACAAGCTGACGCTCCACTAATATTATTCCTCTGTACTCTGTTCATTCACTGCTATATCCCACCCTTCAAACTGAAACACAGCCATGTGTTTGCATGGCTGTGTTTCAGTTTGAAGGGTGGGATATGGCGTGAATTTACAGGGTACAGAGGAATAACACCTGAGTCCTCAGGAATGGCAACGTATGGGGGGTATCATGGGCGAAACAGTATGTGTGTCTACTGTTATGTCCATGGTACTGCTCATGTCTATAGGCGACGGTTACCACTTTCCATCAGGTGGACCGTCAGCTTGTTTGCCATTCTAAGTCGTATAAAAAAAATTAACTTTTAATCAAAGTTTAAATGGGTCGAAATTAGGGATGTGTAATATAGTAATATGTATATATTTTAGTTACAATATCTATATATTTGTCCAACAACGAATATGATAAATGTCTGTTATCCATTATTTAATGTCGAAATAAAGAACCCGATTGAAATTAATATAGATACCCGACCGGGAAGGCCTGATATCGGAATGTAAAATCCATGAAAACCCAATATATAGATATTGGAACAGTACCAATATTACCCATGCATAGTCGAAATGATTTGTTATATCTTGTTTAATTTAGGAAAGTGTTGGGAAATGAAATGTAAATTATGTACTCATTTCAGTTTTGTAAAAATTTTATATTTCTCTAAACCAATACAGATGTAGTGTTGCATTTATATCGTCATAATCTATCATTAAAAAAAAAAACATAAAATCCAGTAGTATTGTTTATAAATAACGATATAACAGTTCTCCTTAACAGTATAGATATCTTTAATATAAACAAAGCACAAGAAGGGACCGAAGATAGACCCTTGAGGTACCCCCGATCTGACTAATCTCCTAATTGATGTAACAGATTGTATTATAAATGCGGATTACGATAGAATTTGCGGACGTCTGATTAAATATTCAAGGAAATATATACTTGTATAAAACGAGTATCATGACAATGATAAAACGCCCATTTCATATGATTATTGTTTGAACCTTGAACCGTAATATCTATCACGTGAATAATTAAACTGGTGTTTATGAAACTGTAACAGCTATTTTAGTATCTACTTAAGTCATAGATGTTGTATGTGTTAAATAATAGTTGGAAGTATTAGATTTTGATGACACATCATCATTATCATCATCATCGTATCAGACTTTAACTGTCCATTGCTGAACAAAGGCATTCCTCTTGGGAGATTTTGTCAATAGTTGCCACGATTGGCACGCGGATAGGCAACCGTAGTTAGACTTTAGAGATGTTTAAAGAAGGGCGTTTCTGCCCTTTCTTAGTCACCTCTTACGACACCCACGGGAAAGGAAGGGGTGGCTTATTCTATACCGGGACCACACGCTCATGATGATTGATGATACTCCGTATCATTCATGAGTTTCAAAGTATTTTTTTTTCTAATGATTAATTTACAAATTGGGGTCTTTATACTTTTTATTATGAAGAAGAAATCATAATATTTATTAGTACATCGCTTGTTTGTCACTTTTATCATTATTGACGTTTAAATTCACATGGAGATGGATGCGTCATCACTATACTTTATCGCCAGTATATTCTAAGTAATAATAAAAACACAATACACTAGTGTAAAAGAAAGAAAACTCAACGGAGCATTATACAAAGTTATCGAGCTAATATATTTTTTTTAACGAGTGAAAACGAGTAAACCAGCAGGGCTAGTGAGAAATGATGAGTTATACTAAAACTGGGCTGGTGGAATGGGGTTATTGGACCCTATAACTGTTATAGAAGGGGTGGCCAACCTGTCGATTATTGGCCCAGTCGATCATGGCATGGCAAAAAATATAATATTTTGCTAATCTAGCGGAAGATGCTCAGACGCAATGCTCACTCTAATATAAATAAGTAGTTACTAAGAATAATTTACAGTTTTATGTTTTTGTTTTTAATAAAATAAAAAATAATATAATACTACGATTGTGTACTGAACTATGTTGTTTTGTTTGAGATTTCAAGAAGTATGTAATTGTTAAATCGCACAGAGTTTCGTTAGTAAACAGCAGATCTTAGGTCTAGTTAAGTTGGTCATCCCTGTGTTATAGAGTCCAACAGCCCCATTACTAGCAATATGTCGTACCAGATGGACCTCCACGTGTTAACGCCTGGAATCCATACATGGTTAATTTTTGATGAATTCATTACGATCGCCCAACTGACCTGCTTTCATCAGATCATGCATTTCATTCCTCATTGGTGCCCCGCCAGCAAATACCGACAGTGCAGGCGGGGTTATCATTTCATTGTCGTTTATTAAAAAAATTAAGCAAGTAAACAGTGTTATTTTACATACCGAGATAGATTAAGACCCAAAAGATAGAATGAGATCCCAAAATCATATTTTTTTTTATTTTCAGGTATCGGCGGCGTGTTCCTGCTCGTTGCCTTTATATGTGCCGTGCAACTCACGATATGCATCGTGACCGAGTACAGAAGGCTGAAGGCGCCAACCTTCCTGCGAGCTTGCAAAGTGACGACGCAGAAGATGCTGTACCTGGTCGCGTTTCTGGCGTCCCTCATTCGTGGCGCTTACTTCGTATCGCCGGTAAGTGGCGTATCTATTCTACTTTCTTTTATGATAGAGATTGGCAGTTAAATAACACTCACACTTGTTTTTTTTCTTTCGAAGGAAAAGAGATGTGTTCACGTACTGGCAACTAATAATTTTGTAAATACTGGCCAGTAATAATTTGTTCTATTTATTCTTTTAATGAATTAATTAGTATTTAACCAACTCGCTTGCGTATCACTACAGTATAGTACACCTAATGGTAACTGGACAGTATAGTCCTATAACACTTGTAACATGAAGACAAATAATTGTAAGAGCCTTATTTAAAGGGTTGGATAAGGCAGTGAGATAAAGGGGATACAGTTTTTTTACGGATGATAATGGAATCGCAACCCCACCTGCTCTATCGGTATACACTGGCGGGGCACCAGTGAGGGATGGTTAGTGAGGATGAAAAGGCAGGTCAAATAGCCCATAGCGACGAATTCAACGATAAATTAGTCACGATGGTTTCCAGGGGAACCGCATGAAGGTCGACCTGATAGGGTATATTGATAGCAATTGGGACCAACTTCCCCTTTACTAACAATTCTTTCCCCTCAGAGGATACAGGTTGGGCATCACAATTAATACATAAAAACATCAGATATGTCACCGATCGTTGTACCATAAAGAACTTGGGTCATAGTCCTGAGTAATTTTTCAGTACATAATTGTAAAACCTATTTCATGTGATTGGATTCTTACCAATTGTAATTTTCAGTGTTTGAGTGTGTATAGTTTATTTTGGTTGTACTTATTATTTTTTTAACCGACTTCAGAATGTTTCCTTGTTATATTTCTATCTGTATGTACTTGCAGAATTATCCATATAGATAACTTCATGTAAAATCCCCTTCTTATAAAGCAAATGTCACCAGAGACACTTTTAAAATCTCTAGTCTAAAGGACTATCAATAATGTTAAATTTTCATCATTACAGTCAGCGTTCCAAGAGGGATGGGCGACCAGTCTACTGTCAGCTTACTACCCGTTGCTTATGTCGGGCTCATCATTGATCGTCTGTTTCTGGGCAGAGGTGAGTAAAACATACTAGTTCATTCTCCATTCGAAATAGGCAATAAAATTATAAGCTTACTTATTGATTAATGAGTGAAATCGAAATCGTTAGCATCCTTCCAAATGAGTGTACTGTCAATGAAACTGAACATACATATCAGGGGTACATTATATAAGATGTTCAAGTGTATTTTTAGTACCTATAGGTACAGTACGTAAGCAAATAATAATTAGAATATGTAAACGTTTTCTTAGTATATGGGAAAATTATATAACGTTCATTGATTTCAAGGAAACGCAACATTACATTATAAGAAACATTTTCTTTTAATATTTAGCGCCATCTATTAATCATTTAGAAAACTATGTGATTATAGATCGATTCTTGTTTTAATGTTTACAGTGAAATCTAAAGATGGCGTTGTTTATGTATCAGAAATGTTACAAAAGATGGCGCTAGTGTCACAAAGTAATATTGTTTGCTTCTAAATTAGATATTTTATTAATTTTATTAACTTCTCCGATGATGTTGCGTAGCTGATACCGTTGTCAACATTATATCGGCCGTTAACTGTCCACTGCTGAATATAAGCCTCCCCAGAAGCGGGTCTTTGCTAGTAGCTGTCATGCTTACTGTTACCTTTATAAGGATGCTTTATGCAAAAAAAAATATGGAAGAATAATAGCAATCAAGCTTATAGCATGCTTGATGTGAAATAACTTGTAACCATGAACAGTACCATCATTTAACATGGTGACATTTTTTATACCCTCAGGCGTTGCCATTCGTGTGATTTTTCTTTAATGGATGATGATCGAATGGTAATCCCGCCTGCGTTAACGGTATATACTGGCAGGGCACCAGTGAGGGATGACAGGTCAATTAGTCCATCGTGATGAATCTACCTGGGGTTCAGCACGACGGTTTCCAGGGACTGGCAGACCGCCTTACTAATAATCCCTTCCCCCCTATTTCTGATGATTAGTGTGATATACCTCTGTAACACGTAAAATAGGGGTGCTCAAACTGACCTTTATTAAAAAAATGCACATTATGTGGAAAACAAATACCTATGTCACGGTAAACCCTACATGAACGACAATCCTGCATCACAGCCTTTCAGAGTCGATCAATCGTAGTCTAACAATATTGAGGAAGATTTTTTTATGCAGCTTAAAAAGGCAAAGAAACTGACGGATCACCTGATGGAAAGTAGTAACTGTCGCCTATAGACATGAGCAGTACCATGGACATAATAGAGTATACTGTTTTGGTCCATGATACCTCCATTCGTTGCCATTCCTGAGAACTAGGGTGTTATACCTGTGTACTCTGTAAATTCACTGCCATATTCCACCCTTCAAACCGAAACACAGCCATGCAAACAACTGCTTCACGGTTGAAGCACGAATGAAATCGCCAGCAGTTCAAGTTTGAATACCCCTTACATAGAAGTTACTGCTAAATACTGATAAGCTATTATTCCGCAATATGTATTTTTATTGAAAATGCATAGATGCAATATTAACAATCACGCTGGCGTACCTTAGAATCTACGAGCATTGACTCTTCGTGAGCCTTAATAGAAATGCACTGTATAGAAAAATAATGACAGTTCTCTGACACTTCTGTTCAACGTAGGAAGGTGACAATTACGTTATTTGAGTACAATTTTCTGATAGTTAATTTGACATTTAAGATTTTATCTTATCCACGTGTACCGACACGATGCTTAGATATGTTGTTTAGACTGGTTTTTTTACACCTTGCCTCGTGTTAAAAAGCGTTTAATCGAAGAAAAATATTGCCACAAAATATTTTTTTTATACAACTTAGAATGGCAAACAAGCTGACGGCCCACCTGATGGAAAGTGGTAACCGTCGCCTATAGACATGAGCAGTACCATGGACATAACAGAGTATACTGTTTCGCCTATGATATCCCCCATGCGTTGCCATTCCTGAGGGCTCAGGTGTTATTCCTCCGTAGCCAGTAAATTCACGCCATATCCCACCCTTCAAACCGAAACACAGCTATGCAAACACAACTGCTTAACGGTAAAAACACGAATGGGTCAGAGGTACCCAAGCAATCGACTTTTGTACAGTCTCCCTCTGGTAAATATAGTGTTCAAGTATATAAATGATATTAACATATTATGGTTGACTAGTAGAAAATGATAATAACATTAAATCGGGGGGAGGGATTGTTAGTAAATGGGAGATTAGTCCCTATTGCTATCAATATACTCCATCAGGTCGACATCCACGCGGTGTCCCCTGGAAATCGTCGTAACTAATTTATCGTTGAATTCGTTACGATGGGTTAACTGACCTGCCTTATTTTCTTACTAGTTATATTCCGCGATATCGGTAACATATATTGGTACATAAAGTATCCTAGGCGCCAAGTTAAAATGTAACTTATCCGTGCATCAAATTTCATTCAAATCCTTACAAAGTTTCGCTTTTATAATATTAATAGGATATGTTATTGATAGCTCTGGTGTTGCGGCGGACATAGGCTATGGCAACTGTTTATTATACAATAGGTTGTATTCTTATTTGCCACTTTAATAGTGCACAAAATACCTGATTAAATATGGATTATTAGTAATGGGGTCTAACGGTCCCATTGGTAGCAACATATGATATACTGCTCATCAGGTCGACCTTCACGCGATCTCCCTAGAATCTATCTTGATTCAGTCTCATGGAATTCATTATGATGGGATAACTGGCCTAATTTCATCCTCACCTGTCATCCTTCCTTGGTGTCCTGCTGGCGTATACGTAAGCATTACCATTCCATTATCACCTTTAAAAAAAAACATCATTTCATTTCATCACTCATTGGCAACAAGGCCGCTGTATTTATCATTATAAACCCTTCCCCTTCTATAAAGTTGTTAAAGTGGAGGGCGACAACCTATTTAATGGAGAGGTAACTTCAAAAGTGTAGCAGCGAGTCCATGAATGCAGGTTACTCAGGATTATTATTTGTAATGGGGATGGGAACTCTAAGCAACGTATACATTTATCAGTGGTGTTTGATACTATATTAATAAATACTCCGGTTGATGCAGTAATAGCCCTTTAATATATATATATATTCTTTATTGCACTAAAACATACAGTAACAACAATAAGTTAATAACAATGTTAGCAAAGGCGAACTTATCTCTAAAAGAGATTTCTTCCAGTCAACCTAACGCAGTGGCATAGGAAGTAGTGAGTGGGCAGTAGTAGTGCAAGACAGAAATTTAAATAAATATTTACATAAATTATATATATTATATAATATATTTAATAGTTTAAGTTTTCCTTTAAAATAGATATATAATAATAAGATTTACAAGGTAACAAATAAGACAGTCTTGTAGTAGTCAAGTGTAGTGTCACACAGAGGGCGTCTCCACCGAGCGATTAATATCCAATTTGCAGGGTAGTGTGGTGACCGTTCCGTTGTAATAATTTACACGGCCTACCCACTACGTTTATGCCGGTCCGCCATTGTCTAGGCGTCTATCAGTGTTAACAGTGGACAGTGAATGATTAAAATGATGATGATGATATTTTCAAAAGACTCTTCACTTCCTCGTTCTTACAAAGCAAATATTTTAATTGTAGCCATTTTATTATAATTGAGCAGGCGTTAAGTTTTTTCATATCATGTCTTTAAATTGCTTAAACTATTGTTGTTTAATTTAAATAAACCACACGCTCGCATTTAATATAGAAGCTTTGAGTCTTCTGCTAGTCGTTCTCTTGGAAAACTTGACATCATTATCATCATCATCTCAGCCATTATCCGTCCACTGCTGGACATAAGTCTGCCTCATAGACTGCCAGAAAAAACGGTCTTGAGCCTGCATCCACTGACTCCTTGCAATGCACTTGAGGTCGTCACTCCAAATTGACATAGTAAACAAGAAATGTTAGTTAAAAAAGAAATGATGGAAAACTCATGAGGGAATTAGGATTAAATGAAATTTTTTTAAATTTATAAGTATTTAATACTCGCGCAAACTCGCAATAGTGAAGCAGGTACGTGAAATAAAGGTAGACAAAGCCTGGTTGATTCGTATGTAATGTATACATTTGTGAAACTCCTACTATAGCTTAATAATATTTAATGAATTTGTTTATCTGTTACCTCTTAGCCCCTTAACGAATTTACTAAACGTAATGATACTTTGTGTAGGTTTTTTTTTTATGGGTGAAAATTGTATAGTAACCCCGCCTGCGCTAACGGGATACGCTGGCGGAGCAACAGTGAAGGGTGATAGTTGAGAATAAAAACAGGCCAGTTAGCCCATCATGATGAATTCATCAGGAATTAACCATTATAGTTTCCAGGGAGAACTGCGAGAAGGTCGACCTGGTAGGGTAGATAGATAGATAGATAGATAGATAGATAATTTATTTGCATAACTTACAGCACACAAACAAAAGACACAAAAGCAATGTGAAAAAAGATAAAAAAGATACATGTACAAAAGATTAAAAAAAAAAACCAAAAACAAAATCAGAATGTATAATAATTTTTTTTTTTCTTCATGCGTGTGCCACAGTAATGCAAAATGGCCACAACTCAGCTTTTTGCTTTGCCCTAAAAAGAGCAAAACACTGATATTCTGTTGTGGCCAAAAGTGAGCCGCGAAATACCACTAAAAAAAAAAATAATAAAAAAGAACATTGCTAGCAATGGTATTCTCAGTCTTCATTACTAACAATCCCTTTCCCCCACTTTGTGTAGGTTTTTTTAATGGATGACAATGGAACAGTAACCCCGCCTGCGTTAATTGTACATGCTAAAGAGGCATCATTGAGTGATGATAGGTGAGATGAAAAGGCAGGTCAATTAGCCTATTATTATGAATACACCATGAATTCAGCAGGATGGTTTCCAGGGGAGATCACGTGGAGGTCGACCTGACATCCCTTTCCTCTTTTGATTACAGTATACGTAGTATTTAGGATAAAGATGGATTTGGGTTGCTTTTTAATCTCAAATT